GGCTTAAATCTGTAATGGAATTGTACATTAAGCAACCAATTTCGGCCTAGAAAGGGTTTGAAGGCAATTAATAAAACGAACCACTCCGCATTGAAGAACTAAAGTTAAGTTAACTAAACAGAAATCGCAACAACAAAATATGTAAAAAAGTATATTCCTTAACAACTAGACTTTACAACTGTGTGCTGCTACTATCCAACTGTTACATTAAAAGGTACAACAAGAATACAGTCCTTTGCATTTTTAACAGTCATCCACCGTCCGAACTTATAGTCCCTACTAACAGCCACAACAAGACTTTGTCCATCGCTTGCAAACGATAGCGCATTAATAACACCTTGAACTCGGATTTTCAGAATTTCCTTTGATTTTTTGAAGTTATCTTCCAGTTTCCAGAGTCGTACGTAACCATCATATGACCCAGATGCTACTAGGTCAGTGTTCACTAAGGCTGCTATCGCAGTTATCCATCTCGGCTGGTTGTTGAATAAATCTTTTCCATGTGCTGATTCGATGATTTGCAATGGTTTTTTACGCATAAAACTCCACACGCATATCTGGCCATCGTCCCCTCCTGAGAAAAAGTGTTCTTCATTAATGAATCTCACATGATCAATATTTCCCATGTGTCCATTGTAGATTAGTTGGGTTTCCTCGATGATTTTCCAAATTCTCAAGTCTCGCGCTCCTGATGTAACCACTCGGTCCTTATGAAGGCTATCGACTGCTGATACAGAGTCTTGATGCCCAAACAATGTCTCTACATAGGCCATTTCATCCAAATTCCACACTTTCACACTCTTATCCTTGCTGCAGGAGTACAAGGTGTGGGATTCCTTTTTGAAACTCAGCCCGAGAATAGCCTTTTTATGTCCGGTGAGTGTTTTAATGTGCTTCAGGGTATCGGGGTTCCAAATGTTAATATTTCCAGCCTGATCTCCCACTGATAAATATTTGCTGTCTGTTGATATTGCCAAGCTGAAAATGCCACTGGAATGACCTATTGTTTCATCACCACTGTTGCGAACAAACGGCAGCAAACCAACCCTGCGACAGTCACTTAACGAGTACTTTACCACTACTCCATTTAAGCTTCCACTAAAAAGAAACTTGTTATCATTAGATATGCATATACAAGTTAGGCCATTTCTCTGCTGTTTGCACTTAAGCGTCCTGATGTTATCCACGTTAATTTCACTGTAATTATCTGCAACTTTTAAGCGCAGCTTTCCAGTTTCCTTTAGATAGTCTTCTTTCAGCCTTTTTGAGATTACTCTTTCATCAATTTCTTCCCTTTCAAGGCGAGCCTTTTCTTCCCGTTTGATTTCCTCGAGAAACAATTTAGCTAAACGCACCTTCTTGTCCTGGGCCGTCTCGTTCTCGTCCTCCGATGACGATAAATTCAAGTTTTCATCCTCCTGCATGCCCTCATCTTCGCTGCTCGTAATTTCTTCATTTCTCGATTTCTTGGGCTCAATTTTTCGTTTTTTGGCTTTTCGATTATCGGGCTGTCCCCTTTTAACTCCGTTGAACGGTTTCTTTTTTATGAAAAACGACATTTTAGCACAGTTTGAAGAAATAATACACGTGGGACCGCGAAACCGATAAACGCTTCTCCGACTAGGCTCAGTGAAATCAGGTTATGTCCGTTTCAAGATCACTCATCTTCTTGCGTGACGAGAATGAAACACTTGGCACCATCAGAACGTTTTGAGTTTGGAGCCACAGATTAACAAACTATCTGTTTTGAGCTATCTATCTGTCAGACAAGTTGGGTTAGGGACAGTTAGGGAATATTTAATAAAAAATCTCCAGCGAATTTTCCATTAATAAAGTGTTCCATAGCTGATAAGCAAATGGTAATGGATTCCTGCCTTCTATTAGACCTTAGTGCACATGTTCCTTTTTAGGATGTTTTATCAAGACCGGCTGAGGAGTTTGAGAATGATCAAAGTGTCGAAGCTTTGTGGGCTATGAGAGCCTACGAACATGCCGAAATATACTTTAATGTAGGTGGTTTACACACAAGGGCATTTGGGAGCTAAATAGCAAATTTCAGATTTTGTGCTCAGTTGACCCGAAGATTCTAAGACTAACACCTGAAGACGATCTCATATACAGACTGTTTAGGGAGGAGTTTCCCAAACTTGATGTCCAGCTTATCATTGAGCAGGAGCTGAAAAGCACCAAGGAAAAAGCTAAATGGCGACCGTTTTGCGAGAAGTTCAAAACCATAGTTGAAGGTACTCGCTACCTGTGATTTTAATCGAATGAAAGCCAAAATTTCGTGTTTAGATTACAGCTATGGTACTCTACTCAGATCTGATGCACTGAAAGACTATAGTGAAGAAAACACTATTCTCGTAACGCGAATTCAGTTTTATGCCGTTGAAATAGCGAGGAACAGGGAAGGAGTTAATGATGTTTTGCGGGCGAAATTTCTGCCACAACCTCAAAGCGACGATTCAAATGAATCCGATCACAGCTAGTGATCAACCAGCAATGATATTTACTAGTACAGAAGGCTAATACATCTCACAACAGTAAATGTACTACCTTTTACTTAAATTAACCATTTACCTTTTTTAACAATCCCGCTACTAGTTGATCTAAAGTATAACTGTCTTAGTTATGTCTTTGCCACCGCTCTGGGGAAGCGAGAAATTCAGGAAAAGTGTTATTAATAAGCTGTAAGCAAGTAAAACGCATTGGCCATTTACATGTATATTTAAATAACGTTGTAGAAATAGTGAGCTGGAGCATTGTTCTCTGAGCGCAAAAAATGCTGGGCAGGGCATCGAAAATGCGGTTTTTGAAAAAACACAGTCAAAAAAACAATACTTGGGATATGTGGCAAAAATTATTTTAAGAGTGCGTAATATGGGTGAGGAACAAGTGCATAGTGTGTTTATCTTGCTTATAGACGTCTTGATTTTAGTGCATATTGATGATGCTTGGCTGGCAAACTGCGTAAGTTAAACTGGAGCTTTAATTTAATTAATTCCAAGTAGTTTCGGCTTTTATTTCCGAAAATAATGGATTTCAACTTTATCCAGGTCAAAACCATTTTGAGTAAGCCACCCCCAAGGTTGCGTAGAGTGCTTCGGCCAGAAGAATTCGCAAAATATAACAAGGAAATGATGAAACTGCGAACTCAATTACAAGCAGAAGAAATCCTTAAAACCAAAGACAGAAAGTAATAAACAGATGTTTGTAAATACAACARAATTTGTGAATTTGAGACGCAATTAATTAGCAAGGAATAATGACTTTTTCYTGTAAAAAAAGCGCGGGGTTGGAAAAATTAATAATTTGCTTCATTATTTTTTTCTGGGGAATSAAAACTGTTCCCAATTTTATATTTTCTAATGAAAAATTAGTACTTTAGTCCTCTATCYAGCAGTCTGTAATTGAGCCTTGCAGCTCTAACGGTTCTCGAAATATGCGAAACAAGTTCAGAGCGGGCTTCGAAAAATGGATAATTTTTTAGTTARTTTTATCTCTTGCGTCTAATAAATCTCTAAATATATAAGGAATAATAAAACGCGGATTTGGTAAAGTAGAAAATKTTATCACTACATTTTTCTGAGGATTTGAAATCGTTCCCAATTTGATATTTAATACGGAAAATTGCACACTTAAGTTTTCTGTGCAGCAGCTTCTTTCCACGCTAACGGTTCTCTTAATATCCGAAAAAAATAACCGCGCGGGTTTGAGAAGAGAATAATTTTATAAATTGGCTTTTTAGTTCGACTAAGCTGAAAAACGCTCTGTGATTGCTAATTTACGTGAAAGTTGCGTGTTTAAATTCTCCATTTAGTAGTTTTCAATTAAGTACGCTTTTTTGTTAAGACGAATCCCAGATAATTGAACAAAATTAAGGGCCGTTTAGAAAAGAATAATTTTCCTTCCTTAATTTTTGTCTGGGGTCAGTCACGGCTTGGCCATGGAATCGAGCATAATGTTTCTATCATAGACAAAATAAAACATTTTCATCTTTATTCTTATTTTATTTTCTGTATGGTTTCTTTCTCTTTGAACTGTCAAAAATTGCGTTTTGACAATCCACAATTCCCATTGCTTGTAATCGATCCACAAATAGAGGGACGGAGACAAGATAACTTGCTTCCGCTACATGTACGCAAGCTCAAACATCAATATAGCGCATATAAGCCAACCTGACTCGTTGTTTAAATGACATGCGCAATTGAGTTTGAGGTTACGTCAATCAAAACAAACTTCTATTTACCAAAACGGGCAACTATAAGAGTTATTATATTATATTCACTGTCTCTACGTAAACATCCATGATACAAAGAACATATATTCCTTGTATCATGGTAAACATCCGTATGATTGAATGAATATGATCTGAATGGTTTGGCTAGGATCACACGCAACGTTTTAACTTACTATCCTCTAATAATGCAATAAACAATCAAAAAATTAATTATTCGGACTGCACCTAGCCCCTGACAATCCACAAAACATGAATCGTTTGGCAAAAACAATAAATGAATGATCTATAAATCCGCCCATTTTATTGAAAAAATTATAGAACTTTAATGACAGACGCTTGCTTTGCTAGTAGCGCATATAAGCCAACCGGACTCATTCTTCTTCAACTTCTATTTACCAAAACGGGTAACTAGAAAAGAGTTGTTATTATTATTATTATATATATTATTTTCGAAAACTCGAATGTTACTCGTAACAAATAAATGTTTACAGCGCTTTTTTCAATTTGAAAATGCCGCGCGTAGAGCACACGCCAGGGTAGCCAACTTTTCAAACGCGTATTACCATACAAGTCATTTAAAAATACCGTATTTTACCGTACCAGAGATTTTGAACCAGAAAGACAAGAAAAGATCTTCAATCAGAGCTTCAATCTGGGATGAGGACATGGCTGGCGACCAACAAAAATCTAAAACTCACTTGCACATGTCATTTAAACAACGAGTCAGGTTGGCTTACATGCGCTAGTGCTTTGCTTAACGTAACGTCAAACTCACTCGCGCATGTCATTTAAACAGCGAGTCAGGTTGGCTTATATGCGCTAGTAAACATCAAGCGTCACTGTCAACCATACAAAAAGCTCATGAACAAAACTAGTCTTGCTTTATTTTTAAGTGTAGACCTCGAGACTTACTTTTCTTTGCCTTATTGTTTCAGTAACAGCGATATGAGTAAAAATTGAACCACCTGTGTAGCTTCTCGGTTTCAATATTTTCGTCATTTCATTGCTTTTATCTTTGCGGGTTTTGGTTGATAGCAATCCTCGCTTATTAGCATGGACGATCCAGGGCGTATGATGAGCCATACTGGGGCTGGATTAATGCCCCCGCAAGCCTATGGAATGACCAACCAGGGTATGTTCATTAGTTAGTACAGCTAGAATGATTTGGAGTTATGGTAAGACCTTGAAGCCCCCTCAGGATTTCGACATTTCTCCTGGAATTTGGGGACTCAAATTCATTCAACAGCTTACTTGCTGATCGTTCTATTAATTAGAAACTTATAACAGGCGATACCCCATCAGGTGGAGAGAATGAACCTCGAAAGCAAGACATCGGGGAGATTTTGCAGCAAATCATGAACATCACTGACCAGAGCCTTGACGAAGCCCAAGCCAGAAAACATACATTGAACTGCCACAGAATGAAGCCGGCGCTGTTTTCAGTCCTATGTGAAATCAAGGAAAAAACGGTTTTGTCTCTGAGAAATACTCAAGAGGAGGAACCCCCAGATCCGCAATTGATGAGGTCAGGGAGCAGACTTTGGGGTCCCACATTCACTAAAATGGTCAAGTTTTAGATTGGATAACATGCTAATAGCCGAAGGTGTAGCTGGCCCCGAAAAGGGTGGTGGAGCTGGAGCTGCAGCATCAGGATCAGCTGCAGCTCAAGCTGGACAACCAGATAATGCTATTGAGCATTCAGATTATAGAGCGAAGCTGGCACAGATTAGACAGATATACCATCAGGAACTGGAAAAATATGAACAGGTTATTTTGAGCACTCGCTGTATTTGGCAGTAACTAAATAAGTACAATTTGGACAGGCTTGCAATGAATTCACCACGCATGTAATGAATCTGCTACGTGAGCAGTCACGAACTCGGCCGATTACTCCCAAGGAAATCGAGCGAATGGTACAGATTATTCATAAAAAATTCAGTTCAATTCAAATGCAGCTGAAGCAGTCCACTTGCGAGGCCGTAATGATATTAAGGTAACTGCCAATATTAAGCAATCACGCAGCATTAACTCATTCCTTTGTCTTTAGGTCTAGGTTTTTGGATGCCAGACGCAAGAGGCGGAACTTCAGTAAACAGGCATCAGAAATTCTGAACGAGTACTTTTACTCTCATTTGAGCAATCCGTACCCGAGTGAAGAGGCCAAAGAAGAATTGGCACGGAAATGTGGAATCACCGTCAGTCAGGTCTCTAATTGGTTTGGCAACAAGAGAATCCGGTAAGTTTTCAATCTGCTCCTATGTATGTGTGTAACTACGATAAATTTGCATATGGAAAACTCCCTCGTTTGTTGACAACTATATGCGATATACAGTGTGAGCGATTTGAGAAGGGTATTTGCGTAGATTTTCTTCCTCATTGTAAAGTGAAAAACACTTTAGAAGATAGAAGAAAGCCAACATTTTTCGTTTTATAACTGGTTTTAGGCCGTTTATACACGCCAATCAGTTTAGTATTTTTAAAATGTTTCCATATTTTCTAAAAGTTTTTCTATGCTCTGTGATTTCTATTTTTTTTAGTTCGAATAAACTTTTTCTGTCATAATATCAGTTTTCCATATGCAGCTAAACTGCTCAACAAAATGAACACATCCAAATTTTTCTTAACTTTGGAAGTTGATAAAATATGACTGCTTAGAGCCATTTGGTTTCTGTTTGAACCGCTATCTAGCACTATTTGTGTTTTGCTAGTCAGTATGTTAATAAAAATTGAGCATCTCTGATAAATTTTTCAGAGGGTGACAAATAAAAAATTGCAAAATTTCGGACAGTTCTACATGCTCCTGGTTGGATAAAGAAGGTTTTTTTTGATCCCGACACTAAAACTTTAAAGATAAACCAAGTAGCTCGAAACTAGGCATGGGTACCTCAGTTGCGCTGCAGTCACCCATTTGTTGCGGGAACACATTTTGCGTCACGTTTTTCGAAAATTAATTTCTCAGAACAGAAACGAAAAATACTCTTCAAGTTGAGAGTTGTGCGTTCGGTAAATAATAGTGCGCTCTAAATGTCGTCAAAATTCTTTCACAGCTTTAAAAGTCCTCAAATCGCATAAATGGACGCTTTCACGCAACTGCATACTCTCCATTAAAAAATTCCAACTTCCAAAGTAAAGCCAGCAGAAACTTGAAACATTGAGATTATGTAGGAAGCGTTTTTTTTTTAATGAAATGTTGGCGTGAAATGTTGCACCTAAATGTCTGATATTCAAATTTCGTGTGACTTTTGTGACAAATCCACCAGAGTTTACTCACGCACGTTAGCTCACTACTGTGAACACTGTAGCTCAAATGGTTCTTGAGCAACATAAAAAAAGGTGGTGTCATGTTTCAGTCGATTTCGCAATTAAAAAAAAAACAGACAAAACTAAAACTTGACTTTTTTTAGCAAAAAAACATAAAACTCGAACCCATATTTGCATATCCGAAACGGTTCTTTGGAGACAAGCTGCAGATGAGCTTGATGTTAAAAGACAAAGCCTTCCAAAATATTCCCAGTCAAAAAATTTCTTGTGAAGGTATCAATGGTTTAATCGGAACCCAATCCACACTCTCAAACGTCGGAAAACTGAATTCAGTTCGAACTAATATATTTACAGATTAGAAATCATTCTTACCAGCTTTTTGCAAACTGGCGCCCCGTCCTCCATTTTCTACCCATTAATCCTCAAGTTCACTATCAGAAACTACTGCAACTGCCGTAAGGGCGACAATAAATCTATATTTTCCATCTAATAATGCGATTATCACCCAGTTTTGTCCACTGTCGGTAGCAAACTGAACATTCATACACTTTTTCGATAAAAAGGCACCGAACTACCGAATAAACATGATTATTTAATCATTTAATTGTTGGCCCTTTGGATGATTCATGCTTTACTTCGCAGTTCGATTTGTTTGTTTATGGTTGGCATTTTTGTAGAAAGTGACTGTTCGCGTGGTAATATTTCCAGAGGCAAATTTCGCGTTCCCACTTAACGAAAGTTCCGAGTTCCTTCATCCTTTCGCTAATTTAATGTTAAGTTTAGAGCCATTTATATTGGTCTGAATTTCACTCAGCTGCAATGCACAACGCCAAAACTAAAATTAATAACCAATCGAACAGATTTTGTTTTTGTTTGTGGAAACTACCTAAAGCATAATTTTTTTTGCAAAAACCAAGCCTTAATGGGAAAAAATTGGCCTAAACAATGCTTGCAATCAATTCGCTCGCAGCAGTCACAATTAATCCAGTTCCAAAACTAGTCCAAATTTGTCAGTGTAATGTTGATTTTGTTGAGAAGTTTACTTGAATTCTACGTTAATTTATGTGACTTAAAAATGTTCCTTCAAATTGCTGAGCCAATAAGTCTGACATAGCTAGTAATCTCAAAATATGAACATTTTTGAAAATATTTAGGTAAATTTTCTTTGTTAGGTACAAGCGGAACACAGGTAGGTATGTTCCAATGCAGACAATTCGAACTCTCTAAACAAACTCTTTTTTAAAAACAGCCACAGTTTTTAAGATGTGATGTTTGTTCATGTTGTGTCATGTACAGAAAATGGTGATTGTTCCTCGACTGGAACGAGTAGGATTGAGAAGGAGCAGTTTTCAAAAAATGCGATAGTTCCGTAGAGCGAAATGAATTCGACTCCATTCTGCTCTATCCATAAAGGGATCCGCCAGGAACAAAACCTGCTTAAAAAGAGACAACTAGACATTTCGAATTTTCTCCCCCAGGTACAAAAAGAACATAGGAAAAGCCCAGGAGGAGGCAAACCTTTACGCGGCGAAGAAAGCAGCTGGGGCTTCGCCGTATTCGGGTACTCCTACCCCAATGATGTCTCCAGCGCCGCCCCAAGACTCGATGGGTTACTCAATGGGTTCAGCCTATGATCAAGGCTCAGCTTATGATGCCAGCAGCTGTGGGTACGATCCTATGCACGGACAGGAGCTGTCTCCATAAGTTTGACTTATTAAGTAGGTGAAGGCTTACATAAAGAACAAAGTTTACTGAATTAACTTAATATTCAGTAGTCTTTGTCAATCTGCTCATTTATCTGATCAGCATGCATTATCGTGGATGAATTTACTTCGCTCTTAAGACAATCTGCACGTTTCATAAAATTTGTTTTTGTTCCTCTTCACTTAACAAAATTGCATGTAAAATTCGATTTTTTAAGTAAGTAGTGTTAGCGAGATGCTTTTAGGTATAGGCCATCAACAATTCTGAGTTCTAAGGAAGCCGAATTTCTCTCAAATAGCTTCGAGTAGTATACTGTTCGCGGTAGTTATTATATTTCCGTTCAATTACAGATCTTTAGACAGCCTCTATCCCAAATTGGAGCACTAAAATGGAAATAAGTCCGGTACTCGCTCAATTTCAATGCTTTTAACCTAATCATCACAGTTTTTTTATTTGAGGTTGAAAGCAAAATGAAATTCCGTTGAGTTATATTTATGTATACTAAAAGCCCATGTATACCTACTAGTTTTAACATGTGCATTATTTCGATTTCTTTAACACTGTATAGTTAGGCGAGTGTCGAGTTCAGGCCTCACTGTCTAGATGTTTCAGCAGATTTTAAGGTACTATGCGTATAATTAAATAGCATACTATGCATAATAACATTGTTTCCTATGCAAGATCATATTTTTTTTGTAGGGTAGGATAAATATTATTTCAAGGTGCAATCTTATTGTTTTTAGTAAGTTAAGACGCTTTTTAAGTAAGGATTTGTAGTGGGAAAAACTAATTATTTTTACGTAAGTTTGTCAGTGTCAGAAATAAAGACATTAAACGAGTCTAATGGGTTTTAATAACCAATTTATTCATTATAAACACGCTTGAAATATATTAATCTAAATTAAAATCATAAAACATAACATGTAACTGAACTGGACTGTTTCCGTGCTTCAGAATACATTAAATGAACTGATCAATTCCTTGTTTTTGGTTCTGGACCGATTATCGTCCCTGATATTAATATTGTATTTGGTTTTATCTCTGTAAAAAAGCTCAACTACTTTTTTTATTCTCCAAACTACCCCGACACACATATACGCTAACGTTTCTCAAATAAGTCGTCAACATCGTGATGACTTTTTCATTAATTAACTCGTCGTGATAAGAACTTGAATTCACCCACTGGGTGGCAATGTAGTCGAATCTATTCTCGCGAAATCCGTCGTTCTTTTTGTTAATATTTTGAATACATTTATACAAACTCTTAAAACTTAGCTCTGACGAATTGGTTTCTCTAACAATACAACCGCATAAGCCCCATTCTTGAGAATTATCTTCAAAGTAGACGATGTCCCCTAGCGCTTTCGGCTTGCACTTTCTGAACTCTGGCAAATATTTGCTTTTTTCGGATAAGTTGCGCATTATTTCGTCTTCATCGCCCTTGCATGTGGTAAAATACAGTATTATCGTGTTACATTCGATTTCTGTTATATGGGAATTTCGAGTAACCAGTGGGGATTTCGTAGGCTTTTTCTCTTGATCGTGATCATCCTGAAAGGATTAAAAGAAAATGAATTACAGCTAATTTACGGTTTACGAGCAAGTAGTATTAGTGCATTGTTAACGTCTAAAATATATTTGACTATGGAGACTACTAAATAATAATCTACTTAACAGGAGTTGTAAAAGCTAGGGTAAACGGAAGTACACAATTAAATAGAATTTAAAAAAATTGTAAAATATGAAGTTAATTTGAAAACTAAACAACGACAAAAGTTATTGGTTTTTGCAATTGCAGCGGTATAACTTTTAACTTAAAAATAAATCCAAAACGGCAAGCTTTACTAATTTAGTTATTGTTTAGGGGTGATTATTTCAATCGCTTGTTTTTATTAGATTTCTTGCTTTTAGGGTTATCATCTGATGCACGGGTTTGTAGGGGTTTCTTCAATTTTCCGTGATTCTAAAAAACATCAATGCAACTCCAGTAACAATCCAATAACACCTACATGCAAAACTGTTCATTTGAAGCCAATGGCAAGTTTAATTTACCTGTTGGAAATTGCATACTGTTATCTCAACATCGACATTTTCAAACAGGGTAATAAGCATAGATTTTACTTTGTCCCATTCCAGCCTATCCAGTCCGCATCCGATTCTGGGTATAGCGATCTTTTCCACCTAAAGATTATCATATTTTTGACCGCATCTTCCCAGATTTATGGACTTACTTTATTCTCCTTCACATGGTCTCTCATCTTACACAAGGACTTCCACAAGGTGAAATAAGTCGGTTTTCCAGTAGATTCTTTTTTGGTGACCAGGTAATACACAAACCTCTTGTTCTTTTCATCATAGAACGTTGCTAAGCCGCCTTGCTTGGCTCTCTGGTCAAACAACTCCGGTAGGTTTTTAAATTCGCGTCTGATAACAAAAATAATTAGTAACTAATAAATCTGATCTAATATTGGGTAAGTTTAAATTACTTGAAAGAAACAGCTATTCCACTACCCATTCTCAAATCTTCAGCAACGCAGTGGGCCAGTGAATATTCCTTTGGTTGCTCAAACAAATCGCCGAATATTTCGTGCACTACTTTATCTTGAGAGCTGTTTATCGAGCGCCATTTCGCTTTCCAATAATCGAACAACGCGTCTCCTTCCATTTTTTCCTTGTCCGATTCCGCACATGCACTGGTAGACCTAGGATAACAACATATACAACAAGAAGATTATTTTTTAAACCTTATATTACCATCTCGTCTTATTGCGAGTCTTTTCGAGAGATCTGTCTCGTTCCAGATACGAAGAGGAATGCCTACTTCTAAATTTTTCGTTTTTGGATTCTGTAATGCTCCGATCGTTACTTCGTAAGGGGAATGAAGAGCTCTCTGCTCTGGTAAAATTGTCTTTTTTGCGTTCTTTTTCTCGACCACTAAAAGTGTTTGTCAAAGACGCGCCTGCATTTCGCTCGACTTCCTTTGGATATTCCGATAAATCTTTTTGAGGACTTACCCCTAAAGTTTTACATGTAGTAGTAGGAGTAGAGTTAGAATTCTGTGTATGCCAATCGTCCTCAATATTTTCTGTATTAGGACCAGGATAGCGGTCGCATGCATGATTGCTGACAACTTTATCTGAATCAGACCTCTGCTTCTTAGAAGCGTGTGTCTTTTTTATTAGCGTTTGTGGATTTTCCATATGATCTTCATTTTTTGGCCCCTTTTCCATTCTGCGTGGAGGTTGTGGCAGTACGAATTCAAGCCTATTATCACCGCTTTGGTCTTTGCTAATTTCTCTACGTCGCCAATTTTCTGTTTTTTTGTTGTAAAAGGTTTGGCTCTTTTCAGAACTATTCCCTGATTTTCCTCGATTCTTTGTAACGTAACCCGAATCTCTTTTCTTTTCTTCATAACCAGCATCGCGTCTCCTATCGAATCTGTTTCCATCTGATGAATAATTTGTGTCCGTTTCCTTGATCTTTGGTTCATCAATCTCTAGATGTAGACTTGGATTTACTGCAGCACTTGGGGCATTCATAACGGGTTGAGATGGAACATTGTCATGCATGTGTTGGCTGTTTACTCGTGGCCAAGAATCTGAAACAGCCAAATGGTTAACGAAATTCTCCATCTCTAATAAACTAACTTGGATACCATTTGATTTTGGTACAAATTCATGAGCACTTGGATTCAAGTGGGTAGAATTCTTCGCACGTGATGCGGATTTGTTCAGCACATCACTGTAAGACTTTCTCATTTTGAGTAAATTCACCTGAAAGTAGGTGATATCACTTGATAAAGCAGTTCGATAACAGTCAAGCTATACATATACATAAAGTCATTTCACAACTGTTGTCGAGCCAAATTTTAATGCAATTCGTCAAATTTGAACGCAAAATATGTATATTATAAGATTATTGGCGTTCGATAAGAAAATGCAGTGTGAGGAGTTTTACGATTTTATTGATACCACAATTTAGCAGAAGAATTATATAGAAAATTATTTTAGGTTTGCGTGTTCAACTGTCCCAAAACAACTTTTCAACCGCTAAAACTAAAAAAAATATGTGGAATTCACGCTCGGAGTAGGCACAATCCATGGACAACTGAAAGACTTAGCGGGGTATTTCAGACTGCAAAATCGCAGTTTTCCGTAAATAACAAGGTTTCGCACAGAAGTTTCACTCTTCTTCAATTTGCCTCGTTCCATACGCGGGTCTCAGTAGTTGGAAGTGCTAAAAATTCTTCATTGCTTTTTGGTAAGGAGAATAAACGAGTTTCTCTACGAGCGATTGATTTTTCGATGACTAAATTTGTTCGCTTATTACGCAATCGGAGGATTTGGAGCACGCAAAAAGTTTTGTGAGTGAAGACAACTCGAAGAATGTAGCTTTCGGCGGACAATTACAAAAAATATTTTATATATTTTCTAAAACAATCAATAGACCGATCAACAGAAGTTTCCACAAAACTAGGTATTAATCAGTTAGCCATGACTAGTATGAATCAACGGCCCATTTAAACTAGGTATTAATCAGTTAGCCATGACTAGTATGAATCAACGGCCCATTTAAGTCCCACAGTCTCTTGTGTATTATGTGGCTATGTGGCACTGTAATCTGTTGAAATAGTGCTCGATAAGCATTTCAGTCTCAATGGCTGACTATTGAACTTTGAGTCAGTCGGTCAATATGTACAATTTCAAAAACGAGTTGAGTATTTTACCCAACCTTTGCCAATTAGTTTTAATCCTGATCCTACAGTTTCTAGGGCCCCCTACATTAGCAGAGCATATGAAATCAATGGCGATATCTTTATAAATTCTGCAGTGATTAAGATAGCTGATGAATGGGCCTAATGCAAGCTCAAAGATAAGAAAATGGAAATGTCTAGCTGCAAATAGCCAACTTACCTTTTATAAGTAGAATATATTGGCAAATCTAACTCCGAATAACGTATTTTATCACTGAAGATAACCGCTGTTTTAAGGGCGTGCTCGATAAACTACGTAATGAAACAGCTTCGTATTAAAGAACTTTTCAGAGTACGGTGATCTCTACAAACATAACCTTTGAATAACGTTACTGGTTGGTGATTACCACCGTTGCCACTATTCATCGACCAAAAAGTTATGGCCTGTAATTGTTTGATTATCTTTCTTACTCACAAGCGCCCACTATTTCTATTTAATAAAATTTCCAAATCGCCAGTAGTATACCACAACTCTCCCTATTCACTGTCCCTACATATTTAATCAACAATAATTAATTAACTGCAAACAATAATTAACACACTGTTGCCAAAGTTGGCGTTAAAGTCCCGAAAACAATGCAGGATTATTTGTTTATGTAATACGACAAAGTTCAATGGGGTCAATCGGGCAAGTGCTGCCCCCATTGTCAGGTCGGCCTTTCTGGCATAAGCCGGAGCTGTCAGTGTCACAGTTTGGACTCGCCCATTGTTTAAGTTTATGGTACCTGTGCAGATTGTTAGCGATTTGTTGCTATATTGTGATAATTATTTAGTTGATACGTGGTGCTTTATTGAATTATGCAAATCTAGTGGCTGATAATCAGTGAGACTACACGTGAGCGACGAGGGGCTGCCACTGGCTGATAAAAAATGGGTAAGTTGAAGGGTTACATGGGTACCGGCGCTCATTCAATGTCCAACTACACTTTGCCGTTGACAACAAACTAGTTTCTAACATGCTATTTATCACACTGATTAACTTGTGTGGTTTTACAATGATTCGGCACATTTTTCCATAGGGGAACTTGAATTATTTGCCAGCCACTCACTCAGCATATCTCCAGACATTAATTAGCAATAATTGCTGGATGGGAAACAGTATGCAAAGCCCTACAGCCATTTGCCGTATTATTTATACAATTTGGATAGCGACCGAGCTGTGACAGCGGTGGTTTCATTAAGGAAACAACCAACTTGCTAGCGCCAGCTGTATGTACTTTACTTTGGTCTGTTCAGAGCTTCTTCTTGAAGAAACAGTTGTTTCCGTTACTTAAAATCCTCTTCAGTTGGTCGCCAGTTAATCTATCAGTCACACTATTTAATTAAGAGGCATGACAACAGTTTTGCTCCATTTGATTTCCACTCGAATATTGATTAAACTTACTGCCAGGACTCATTAAGGAACTAATTTGTTTTTCTGGTATTTCGTTATCTATTTAGATTAGTTTAGTGTCTAAGGGTTTAATGAAAGAGATAAGGTATTTCCACTGCTGGGCATTTAGTTTGCAGTCTAAAAACCCTCAAAAAACAACTTTCTTTTGTTAAGTTATAAAACCGATAGTGTGAAGTGACTAACAACACCTCACTGCTTCCTCGATACATAAGTTACAATGCTTTCAGTGCAAGGCTGATTGGACTTAATAGTCGGAAAAGTGTTTGTAAGCTTTTAAGCACAGCTGTTAAGATTCCTACGGGGCAAAAAACTCGCATAGACCTTACAGTTTGGACCARAAGATAACTCACMTAACTCACGTTCGATTTGAAACAGAGCTTTTAAATGTTGCMATTTTTTGCTTATTTCAAAGAGAATTTGCCGAGCTGTTTTGATTTAAAAAGAAAATAGCGTATCGAACTAGGGTTTTCACCGGAAATGTCCAACTTGTAAGAGATTGAAGTAAACACGTCGCTCTTCCCCCTAAAGRGTGATGATGATGTGATCCAAAGTTTAACACATAGGWACTWGAACGTTTTCACCTATACCTGGGAAACGATAGAAAATATCGCGATAATCATTMGGACTGTTTCGATAGGGGAGCTTGAGGACTGTCTTATCCTAAATAGGCTTTATMAAAAATTCCCAATCTTTGAAGAGATGGAAGCAAAAATTWMAAAATTTAAGGGCCCGCCAAGGTTAAAACCGCTTATATCTTTRAAGTGGTTGAAAATATCCAGWTAGCCATTCGGAGCTTTTGATAGCATGTTTCGCGAACTTTCGTTTGCAACTTGGATTTTATCATGAATTTTTGTATTCTTTCCAAGTTATAAGCAAAAACACGCAAAAGGAAAAAAAATGTCGAGAGCTTATCATTCGGAAAATCTGGGACAGTATCTCATAGTCATAAAATCCATTTCGATAGGGTGTTTCGAAGGTTATCGTCTCCCTTATCAGGGGCGAAATAAAGTTCCTACCCTCCATAAATCAAACTTTCAGTTACTTAATACCTTCTTGAGTATTTTCACTTATCTGAAATTAGCGCAATAATCATTATAACGTTTTTAGTAGAACTATTTAAAAAAACTATTCAGAAATCGTTCGAAATATTCCAATTTCTGACTTTCACCTTTTTTATCCATTTTCTTCTATTCATTATTTACCATTTTAAAGCGTTTTATACTGGAAATTGAAATGCATAACTCAATTAATATGGACGGTGGTTAATAGCATGAACCCAATTTAATGTGTAGTCGCTCATTAACATTAATGAGTTTTACCTAATTGGATACGTAAAGCTCTTAGTAAATGGCATTTTGAAATTTACTATTCTATAAGTTACATATGTTAAGGTAAAGGCGAATGGTATGGTCCAACGAGTTGGAATGTGCAATTTCTACAGAAACATCGTTTCGGTTAATTCAAATGGAAAATTTCTATTTAAGCGGAAAATGCTCCTCCTTCGTTCGCCTTTGCCCCCTAATAAAGTATTAAATCGAGAGCAAAGCGGGGCAATTAAGAAACTTCGGTGAATGCATTTAAATCCATCAATAATTGCAACCTCTGACCTACATTTGGGTGTAGAACAATTCATGTTCCTTGTAGCGATCCTGTGCCAACTTTATTGTTTTACTGATCGTTTCAATTTTAAGCCATATGCTTTTGATAAACATTTTTAAGGTAAATACGATGCTTTCATAATCCCATCCTTCAAGTTGCCCACCCAATTTTCTGTCGGATGATGATGTAAGTTGCAGAGCGGTTCAGTGTGCCAACTCGTTGGTTCAGGTGCAGTCGTAATCGGTACTTCAAGGTGTGTTGTTTTTGCGCTTTCTGGGTAAATTCGCTGTAATAATGTTGGGTCGAGTGCGCTAGTGTTTGTTGCTTTGCTCACTTGAAAATTCTACACAGCCTTTGCTAGTGCTCAATTTCCTGGGCTTTTAATCTATCTCCAACACTCCAGTGAGGCCAAATTCGGAACGAATAGTGTTAACATTAATTATAACTCTACTGATAAAAGTAATTGTAAATATTTAATTTTAACGTAGAGATTACTGGGCGAATGGTAGAGAAGTTAAGTGCGCATTTGTGATGCTAATTTTTGTTAAGTATATGCGGTCGATGCAAGATATCACACTATTCACATATTAATTGCTTTTTTGTGTGATGATGATGATGGGAGTATATTGTTGAAGCGTTTTTCATTAATGATCATCTGTTTCGTCACCCAAAAAGGTAAATTATTCCGAGCGCTGGTGCATGGAACGGTGTTAAAAACGAGACCCAGTTTAAGAATAAAAATTCTGTTCTCGTACAAGGACATGTGTAGAAAATTGAGTGACGCAAGAATATAAATAGCAAATTTGGACATTTAGAAACCAACTCAACTGTATACTCGAGCTTGTTTGTTTGGTAATTAAATTGAAAAAATGACGAATACGAAAAAGGCTGCTACGGGCAATGGCAAGGCGAGTTCGCAACAGTTCATTGAATTAGAACAGTCGAAACAACTACCCGATCAGCCAAAGACAAAACTATCCAGACTAGAGAAAAAGCGCATACGCGAAGAGCTAAGGTTTCAAAAGAAAATTAAAAAAGGTACATTTTATCCCCCGTTTTTTTGCCACACCCACACCTCTAAACCATCTGTTGCAAACGACTGTTTTTTTGCAGGCAAAACATACTGCCAGGCTTGCAAGAAAAAATGCTCGGGCGAAGTCCTTCGCGTTCAAGACAAGTACTTCCATACGGGCTGCTTCAAGTGCAAAGCGTGCGGCTCCTCGCTGGCCCAAGGGGGCTTTTTCAGCAAAGATGGGGCCTATTATTGTACCGCCGACTACCAAAGAAATTTCGGAACCAAGTGTGCTTCATGTGGGGACTATGTTGAAGGAGAAGTGAGCGAACAGGACGCAGGAGTTTAGTTGTTAATATGTGATAAATTCCTTGATTCCAGGTAGTGACTGCTCTAGGAAAGACTTACCATCAGAAGTGCTTTACGTGCGCCAGATGTAGGCAGCCGTTCCCTTCGGGCGAAAAAGTGACTTACACGGGAAAAGAGGTGCTTTGTCAGCGATGTGTCCAGATTCCCATTAGAAACGCCACTCCAAAGACAAGCCCGACTACCACTGCGAGTCCTCTACCAAATGGTAAGCAAAGAAATCCAATAATTAATTGCCTAGTTGATGAATGGCTATTTGTTTTTTAGAATGTGCCGGATGTCGGGAGGATTTGAAAGAAGGGCAGGTCTTGGTTGCGCTGGACAAAAGCTGGCATATTTGGTGCTTCAAGTGCCATTCCTGCGGAACAGTTTTGCATGGCGAATACATGGGAAAGGATGGAGTGCCGTATTGTGAACGGGACTACCAAAAGCAGTTCGGTGTTAAGTGCGCTTATTGTAATCGGTATATCAGCGGCAAAGTGTTGCAGGTAATTAAAGCAATCTAGTCTCTGAATTAATATAATTAACTGATAAAATATTTCCCTTAATAATACACCAGTTGATATGAGTAAACGGCTAAAAATAAACAAATTAACGATGTGGACCCATGTAATGTGAATTTAAAACTTTACAAGGTGAATGATGTCATCCATTAATTTAATTTAAGACTGGCATTATGCTAATTGATATCATCGGGTTCGAAGATTAAAAATTCATAATGTGTCACTAGGTACTCTACTTTAAATGTTTTTTAATTAGTACTTTTACCGGGTGGAAGTGAGGAATTTGAGTGTCATCGACATCGGTTTGAACCCAAATTTTTTCGTAGGCCGGGGACAATCATCATTTCCATCCTACTTGCGCTAGATGCTCCAAATGCGGCGACCCATTTGGCGATGGCGAAGAAATGTACTTGCAGGTAATGGGAATCAGTGGGTCTAGTATGCGGTTGAGATATTGTCGGTGTTTATACAGGGAGGCGCAGTGTGGCATCCAAGATGCGGCCCTGGACCTCAACCGGAGGATGGAAGAATCCTGAACGGACCGGAAAATGGCAACATTACGGACACGGATGTTAGCACTAAGGAATTTGACCGGCATAGTACGAGTGGTGCTAGTGAATTACAAGTAAGAACTTGCTTTGCAGTGGTTTTCCGAATGATTTCAGTTATTTCTTGTGTGTTTTATGTCCTGAGGACTCAAGCATTTTCACGCAGTTCTTTACATGTACTTGTTTGTTTTAGTGGTGTTGATACTGTTGCTCAATTGCCATCTAATCGGCGGGTTTAAAGATTACAGTAATTTTACTATTATCATCAAACAGATTTTTATTATTTTATTGGCATCAGTTGTTACAATGCCTATTTAAATTCTTATTTTAGCTGCTTTTTTCAATGCTATATCGGCTGTAGCTTTTCCGCGGTTTGGACAGAATCTTCACCCAAAGGGTTTTATTTTCGAATCGCTGTTGAGTGCAGCCGGTTTTTTTATATCTTTTTTGGTCACTCGCTGAACATTTATCTGCATAACGTTTTTCCAGCTTGGCAATTTTATTTTTTTGCATGTTTTTCTTGCAGTTTTCCATGAGATCACGCACCCCTAGTTTGAACGGCTCCTTGTACAGCCCTACAAGCATGCATAGGAAGGTTTGTTTTTATTTTGCTTTTTCTATTGTTTTTAGTATTAGGTTGATAAACATAAAATGCTCGACTATTTCGGCGCTTTGGATATTGCGCTTCAACTAGTGGTTTTTCCTTTTGTATTCGAGTACGCAAAAATCGCTCGGTATAAAAGCGATTGATAGCTTGCTTATGGAAGCAAAGGAATGGAACGATAGGGATTATGGAAGGAAACAAATCACTGATTGARTCAAATATGMATTTTTATACARCGCGATCCTCAGATGCTTATTGTTCTATGGAATTATGATTAGGCATTTATTGTCTCTATTTATCAATTAGAATACGTTTCGGTGTATTTTTCCACCATCATCAGTTTTTATGTGTAGCGTTGTTGCTGCTTTAAGCCTTGGTATACATTTGCTTAAAGCAGCAACCGCGCTACACATAAAAACTGATGATGGTGGAAAAATACACCGAAACGTATTTTAATTGATAAATAGACAATAAATGACTGAAACCCAGGAATTAATTTTGATTTGGAATTGAAACACTGTCAGGAAAGTATATATTATAATTAGCTCAGGCKGTTTTTCTTWRGAAAGCAACTGATTTTTCGGTTATTKGAGTTTCAAAAACTAMAWTTTGTKAATGTTCTGGAACACTTCCGTTTAGTGTCGAGYTATTATAGTTTGCYATYTTTGAGGAAAATTTGTAAMCTTTTCGCCATAAACATGTCAGCCTGTTTGTACTTGTATGTACATATMAGTAAAAGTTTCATATAGAATTTTTRATAATTTTTTAGCACTACAGCCATACSACCTATCGTACACCTTCCCCAGGCCTCATCTTGCGCGAATATAATAAATCTGGAACGTTAGCAGACGATATTTCCCGAATTTACACCTACAGCTACTTGACCGACGAGCCCACATTGGGATATTTAAAGAAACCAATCGATCCTTACGACAAGCCGCCAACTTCGCCTCACTTCCACCGGCCGACTTGTGAGTGGATTTGGTTGATTTGTGGGCGGGTTTGTAAAATTGGCTGCTTGAACTTTAGCTCAAAACTCGTTGCGATCCTCAACTGGAGCGGGAGGGAAGCGCTACGGATCGAGGTCCGCAATGAAAGTTCTCGTGGACTCGATTCGCAGCGAAACCCCCAGACCGAAATCGCCCCACATGAACAACGAGGAGCCGATTGAGTTGAGCCATTATCCGGGGGCAAAACCGCCACAGCCTGGCGAGCCTTTGAAGATCGAAAGGGACGACTTTCCGGCTCCCCCGTATCCCTATACTGATCCAGGTAAGGGGCTGGATTTAGGGGGCATATTGGGGAGTTAATGATGGATTTTTAGAGCGGCGAAAACGGTGGTCGGATTCCTATAAAGGTGTGCCGGAGTCGGATGACGAGGTGGTTGATGGAATGAGCGAGCTGGATGTTAACGACAGCAAGCTGAAGAAGGAAGAGGAGGAACTAAGCAAGATGGGCAGCGGCATAGGGCAGGTGTTTTTGAAGAACGTGAAGGAAAGGGAGAAGTTCAAGCAGTGGAAGGCGTTCAACTTAGATCCGAGAAATGCCTCTAGGTAAGAACTCGGGGTTTTGTCTGTTGGTTCAACACTGATACAGGGAACTCTTGTGATTTTCCAGAACCCCATCGGCTAATAAGGAGCCAGTTTATAGGCTGCGCTACGACAACCCGATTGGCGCTAGCCCTTCGCGCAACTTGGATCATTCCCGGCCTTTCGACGAAGACGACTTTGACCGCTCATTGAGTTGTCGGTCTTCATCAATGAGCCGACCGAGCGGATGGAACTACAACGGTAAGTGCGCCCAATTCATCAGAACCGAGTAGGAAAATTTAATCGATTGAATTAATTATTTCTCGAACTGGCGAAAAATATCAACCATAGTAGGCAGTTCTAAAACGGTTTCTACTATTAGATATAAGCTCTATTTGAATTTCTAGCTTCTGTTGGCCTTAAAATAATTGTAAAGGTGAGGCATGTTCTTCATTTTTGGATGGTTAAACGTTCAATGTGCATGCATTCTTTACCAATTTAAACTATTTAGTTTTTGCTTGATGTCTACTATTTTTTTTTTGATTAAGTTTTTTTTGCATGAATTTGTTTCTTAATTTCCCATTCAGTTGCCTTCTACTTTATTTTTGCAACTTTATTTTGTGTGCCCGTATAGTAGTGTCGTCATTAAGACTGGTACCCAGGCCTGGTTACGGATTGCGAGCCAATACCTTGCCAAGCGGAAATGGATACGTAAGTACTTTATAATTGGGTGAAAATGTGCGATTTTGCTGCAACTTCTTCATGTGTGAGGCAGAGAAATTCTCAGATAGATGGGCATTCTTCGCGCTAGCATTCAATGCTTTTAAACGGATGCCCTCTGTTTGAAGGGTTTTCGGTGAAGTGAATGCGTGAACGATTGTGCTAGAGTTTAAGATTGATCACAGCGCAAGGTAATGAAATTAACACTGACCCCATATGACTAAGATAACATGGTTGTTTGGGATTCACTCCACTTGTAATGAAATGCTGTGTTTTCTTGTCAGTTGTGAGTGCCCTGAGACACATTCCAAAGCCCGGCTACGGTTTGGCTCCCCGATCTCATACTTTTTCATCGTCAGCCGGTAGCTACTCTCATATCCCTGTAAGTTCCCCCATCAGATTGTGTGATTAGTTTTCGATTTTTTTAACACATTGTTGTGTGGACTTTGTTGTGTCGTGTTTTATTCCACTTCGCAATTTTTCTTGATGAAACTTAACATTACATAGTGGACAATGTCCCTAATGTTGGCTTTCATCGCTTATCACCTTAGGATTATTGTTGCGAGTAACGAACTAAACTATTTTTTTGGTAACTAATTCGTTTTATTCTGTTTGGGTGATATGAACGCATGTATGTTTTTAGTGGGTTTTGATCAAGTTTTAGTTTTGTTTAGGATGCATGTTTCATAGTTTATATGATATCAAAGTGTTTGTCTTGTACATGGTGGTTCAAGTTAAGTGAACAGTTCAAGTCATTATGAATTTAATGCGCCATTAAAGTGGGTATTTTGTGGACTGTGGACTTAATTTGAAACTCCTTGTTTTATGAGTCGCTTTCTGTGAAACTGTTCAACTAAACGGGAAAACCACTCATTCCGAATCAGAATCAAATTTAAACCGACTTTGAACGTGGGAGTTCGAAGTAATTTCATTTCAATAGATGTACGATGGCAAAATTTCCAAGGTTCTGATTTCACTAGCGTTTTTCCAGATAGCAATTTCAAAGAAAACGGCTCATATGCATATTGAGGCAGCGATTCTCTGTACGATCAAAATCACTTCTTTTGCTCACCATGGCGGAAGCCTGTCCTGTTCTTGCTATGCGAAAAAGATTAGCAGCCCCTTCCATTTCTGCACATTTTCTCTTCATCCATCAACATCACTAGCTAGTTTAACATTTGAACTCTAAATATACGACTTGTAGCTGAATGTGATTTAAATGAAAAGAAATTAGTTTGCATTTTGATTATTTTCTGTTTGTTCGGGTTTGTCTCGTAAATCACTACAGAGGCAGTTGTTTAAATCAATTACAAAACAACTGTTTCAGTATACGTTCGTGCAATAAGCGAATGTTTAGTAGACTTTTTAAGTGCAACAGTCAGTCGTGAAAGTTAAGTGAAAGTGCACGCTGTTGCATTTAATAATGGGATGTAGAATTAGTGAGGTAATTGATACTAAATGTCTATCCACAGGGTGACTATTCATATACTGGAATGGGTGTAAAAACCCACAGCACCGATTTTAGCTCAGGAAAATCAGATAGTGAGTATTTACCACTGCTTTGTTTATTGCTTATTACATATGTTAGTTTAATTTTTTTTTGAAATCGTCCAATTTTTGGTTATTGAACGGAGGATGAGGACAACTTTTCCCATGTAAATTTTTTACTATCTGTAAGATTCATCGAACTGAATATGATTTTTGGGTAGTGGATTAGGGCAGATGGTAATGACTTAATTGTTTCTGAAGAAACGGATTTTCTTGCTAGTTACGGGTCAGCTTTTGCATGAACTGACATTAAACCTGAAAATTTTCCACGTAAATTTGGTTGGGTGCAAACCGATCATGCACATCATAGTTATGTGTACAAGAGCTTAAGGTTGGAGTATAGCACGGTCGCTTAGCACTCTATCGCTATATTTTCGACAACAGCCACACACTTTACATCCTTTAAAGTTTGCAGGAAGTTTCGGAAATATACCGACAAATTTAGGAGTAGAAAGGGGCAGAAGGGTAATTACTTTCACGACTACCGAGTGTGATGCTTTTACGCCATTGTCTGACCAGGTCTTAAAGATGCCCAGTTTGGTTTGCGATAACTTGTAGAAATGCCACTAAAATCAGCTGAATTGTTTCTGATATATTAATGCGAAACTGTTTCGAACAGCGCTGCCTCTTTGGTCGTATTGAGCAAAAAACTATCGTTTTATGTTTTTTAAAAGAAAGCCTCGCTATATTGAACGTGGAAAGTAGAAGTTTCCATACAGTGAGGAAGTCTGAGTTAGAAAAATCCCTTAATCCGAAGTTCAGGGAGTTGTTTTTCTGGAAAAATTCCTGCATGGTTCGGTTCGTATTATTATCGATTTTTTACCTTTCATTCTATCACAAAAATCTTCAAACCCTTTCTATATTTACGATAAACCCCTTAAAAATCTAATCGATGATCGTTAATGAACCGCAATGTGAACACTTGATTTTTTGTTGTTTTCGGCCCTAACAAGAACGAAATTTAAATAAATTCGTTTTAATCTCACCCCAATTGTATTTCCCTTGGTCGTCGATTTAAGTAAAATGGTTTATAAAGCAATTTTCTTCTATACTGTTGCGTAAAAAGCGTTTTAATTGCATTTGCTTGCAACCCAAATAAACAAGTTTTTTCAATCCAACTATATCACAGCCCGAGTTCTTGCCTGAAATGACTCCTATTAATCGACGACATAATACTAAAACTGCTGCTTTTTTTCTTCAGTTTCAACTGGATCCATCACGGATGTCGAAACGCGAATGGTATGTAAATAATGCTTGTTCTGTGTTTCTGTAGAATCCACTAATATCATCCTAGTTCAGGCATGCCGTAGTACTTTTGGGCTTTTGCTTCCTTACCTAACAGTAGGTGCTTCATACATTGCCACTGTTGAAGGAAAACTATTCATTTATTTCTCTAACTCACAGTAGTGTTATAAAACCATATTTGAAAAGTTTTCCTTGATCAAACCGGCTTATAGGCGCGAATAAAGGTACGCAAATGTTCATTGATCATTCATCACAGTAAAACATTGAAAATCTAGGTATGGTCTAGCAGGTAAAGTATGCAAACATGTGTTAGATCATGTCTTGGCTTAACGCATTAAATCACTTGGTAAATAAAACAGCTTTTGTGTACAAAAAATTTGGATGTAGAGTAAATTGCAAAAATCTGTTCAACTAGCATTCGGAGCTGGGTCCAGTGTCGTACGCAGTGGGGCGTTACGGGGCCCCAGGCGGGTACAGCTCTCAAGTGAGAAGAAGCCTACCGAATATGGCGCATCAAATGTTGATAAACGAACCGGCCAAAATCTACCCCTATCATCTACTGGTTATCACAAACTATCGACTGCCAGCCGATGTTGATAGATTAAACCTAGAGGTTTGTGCTCAAGGTTTACTCGCTTCTTTACCTTTATTTTTACGTGTATTTTTCAGCGTCATCTATCAGATCAGGAATTTGAGGCAATATTCCAGGTGGGCAGGCACGACTTTTACCGGCTACCTCAGTGGCGTCGAAGCGAATTGAAGCGGCGAGCGCGACTTTTTTAACTTATTCAAAGGCCCTTACGGGACAGTGGCTGCTTGGTCCACATCTCTATTCTTCAGGTTTTCATCTTGTTTGTTGGAATAGAGCAAACACGATCAGAAACGCGTCTAGTAACTGCAAGCAACCAATCCGTTTCTAGTTTCGTGCTAGATTCGCTTGAAATTGAGTTGAAGTTCAAATTTCCATTTTCTTCGCCAGTTCGGCTCTTCCACAATTCGCACTTGCAATGGTAGTTTACTGCTATTTTATACCTGCTACTTCGCATACTATTCTGAGACGTTCCTCTGTTTTTATTTATTTTGATAAATGCTTGCCAATTCCAATGCCAACAGCTCACAAAACTGCTAAAATAGAGAAATTTCTGGACAATACCATACATCTTTCCATATCGGAAAATTCCAAATCACTGGATTGAAAAATGTTTTAATGCATTTAGTGCAAGTCTGAAAAATACATCATATTTCTTGTGATACAAATTATGGGATCGGTCATTTGTTCACTTCATCCATCACGTAATTAAAAAAACAGTAGACGTTAGATATGTAGGCTTTTCTAAGTGGGCTGAAATTAATTCCCTTTTCCGTTATGTAGGTATGTTCATTTATATTAGATTTATAGTCTGCTCGCCTGCGATAAGTATAAAGTGCATTTATATCTACTTAAAAGCTTCGGATGGCTCCTCATTTCGGGACCAACATTGTCGTGCTTTCACACAATTCAGTTTTGTTGCTTCAATGTGTGGATTTTGGCGTGTTTTTACATTTCCAAGCCCAACTTGTTCCTCCCAGTTTGTCTATTTTCATATATAATTAGGTAATTTATATTTGCCATTACAATTAAAACATGTTCGACCTTTATTTAGTCATACATTTTCTTATAAGGGTAGCTACATAGATAATACAATAATTATTGCTTACAATAATTGTATAAAGAAAATGATAAAAAATTTTAGTAGCTAACCATTTTTGTATGACTTCAATTAGTAAAGATATCTAATCGTTTATTATGTACAGATGAAGAGTTCGAGAAGAAATATTTAAAGATAACTTCAATTTGAGATTTTAAGACAGCTATGGTCTCTCTAAGGGGGTTGTTTCTGTTTCAGGGGCTAATAAATCATTCTCAAGCCATAAAAATGTTAATTTTTTCAAATGCAAAAAATATTGATTCAATAAGGTCACTTTCTTAGAGAGACGCCCGGTATTACTGTTAGACATCTATTAAAAAAAACATTACGATATTTTTCTAGATTGTAAGTTTACTGTAGTCGTTATGATATTTTATTTGTTTAATGTAAGGTAATACTTGGTAGTTCTAGTTTAACTGCTTTATAGAGTGCTTTATATGGGCTAGTCTTCAGAATCAATGGGTAACTTTAGAGCCAAGTATTCAAAAGGCAACTATTAATAATTATGGTATAAATTGCATAATATATTGAAGAGATTTATTAGATGATTTGTTTCCTTTTTAATGGCTGACCAATGCGATTGATTCCCTTTTTGCAATTTGGCTTTAAAGTGCTTTTTAGTGCTCTTCAGAGGCTTATATTTTTATATCTTTTTAAAACGATGCACATAGAAGGGAGTTTTCGGTGCTTCATATGTGTTCATCCATGATAATAATTGATATTCGCAGACACTAAGGACCGTAGCTGCATTGATGGGCTTTATGGCATATTGATAGTTGTTACCTTACATTTGGGATTATTTATAAGAAGTTGGATGTTAAGGTTGCAAGCTTAAGCAGATGCTATTGCCCATAAGAATATTAATATAGAAGTAGCACCAAATGTAATTTCTATGCGAAAAAGCGGCAATATATGGGAATTTCCATGTCCGTTAGTTGATGCAAAGTGTGGGCTAGTCATTATCGTCCCGAAAGCTTCCACGAGTTTTATTTAAAACACCTTTTTATGCCTGATTTATTGGGCAACTGTTTAATATAACGCTTAACCAGTTTTGGGAAAGATGAGGAAAAGTACGGAATGATCCACGCTTTGGATGTTCTAATGCAATAAAAGTTTCCCTATATTGCGCCATTTGCTACTGGGGGACTACAACAATTTATTTTGCAGCCATACTTTGTACCGGCGTTTTGTTTTCTTACCATTTGGGTATTTATTTATGTGACTCTATCCATTCGTTGTTCCATTAATATTACACGTTTATTTGAATGGTTTAGTATTTTGTTGATATTTATCTGCAATAAACACTTTTTGAAATGCAAATTGGGTTTTACTGAATACGAGTTAGGAACGTTTCAATAATGCCCTATGATTTATTTCAATTTTTCGTTCTTTTTAGTGCGGAATTGTTCCAAAACGATAAAAAAACAAAACAAATGTTCACATTGCCGTTCATTAACGATTATCGACTAGATTTCTAAGAAGTCTATCGTAAATAAATATAGAAAGACTGATAATTTTTCTGTAAGAATGCAAAGGAAAGGGAATTAATTAAACCGGAACACAAGTTAACTGTGGCGATTCATTTTTTGCCTCTTCAAAACTGAACTGAACTATCGGGTGTTTTTTCATAAACACAACTCCCTGAATTTCAGATTAATGAATTTTTATTAACATTTAACTTTTTCATATAAATCAGTTATTATTTTCGGACATTTTTAAGCGTAATTCTGTACCGTTTGAACATTTTAAATAACTTATTAAACATTATTCGATTCTGTTGTTTGCCTCCTTTTCCCGCCAAATAAATATTCAAAAACACGGTTGGCAGTACTGCGCACATTTAATCCCGGTTAGATTGGTGGAATGTAAACGCGTTTTTCGTCTGTCAGTTCGATGCTGTCTACGAACGTTGTGTGTTCCTGCTGGAGAGAAATATAAGCCGTTCGTAGACCAAAATTTTCGTGATTACCCGGAAAAGAAACCAAACACTCATTGACACGCATTCGCGATTAGTTTGCCATTGGAAAGCCGACCGGCCTTACCTAAAATTGAACGAAATCACGGTCGAGAATCAAAGCATTTGCTATACGACCAAAATGAATGTGGATGATTATGAAACTCTTCCGACAGACCATGTTGGAACCCATATGATTGCTGGGGCCATTGCAGGCATTATGGAGCACTGCCTCATGTACCCATTGGATTCCGTTAAAGTAAGTGCCCGAAATCGATGGGAATTGACCAAAATTTCCAATTCACAATTTCTCAGATTTGGAGGTTAGACTACTTTCAATTACACCATTCAGATCTTATTTAATCGGCATTTATGAGGATGTTGCTAACAATTGGCGAATTTGTCTCCCGTCATCTTTTCCCTATTTAGACCCAGCAAATAAAGTAGAAAATGAATGTTAAACTATTAATCGTCATTCTTAGCCAGCACCAATGCTTTCTACCACTTAAACTTTAACCATTTAGGTCCAGCTTCCAGCTATTTAATCGTTTACCAGCACAGCCAGTTTTTTAAACCCCAAGTCTTTTTCATGTCATCCTTTGATAACGTTGTGGTAACAAGCCCACACAAGACAAACACTTCAGTACAAGTAAACACATCTTGGTGGCTTTGATAAGTAATCTATTTCTGTTCTGAAATAATATCGCAGATAATTCCATTGCAAGGATTTGAGTTGAAACTGATCTATCTCTTAGACTCGAATGCAATCACTGGCCTCAACAGGAAGCGATGGGATTGTTGCCACCCTAATCAACATGGTAAAGCAGGAGGGACTTCTTCGCCCCATTAGGGGCATGGGGGCGATGGTGTTCGGAGCTGGCCCTTCGCATGCCCTGTATTTCAGTTCGTATGAATACTTAAAGGAAACCTTTACGGAAATGGTACCCAGTTCGAAGTACAACACTCTATGCTATGGTAATTACCTAGTTAATAATGCCGGTACTTTGGCTAAACCGATAATGTTTATTTATGTTTAACCGTCTATGGAAAATTGTTGGTTGAAGCGGAAAACTAGGCTTAATATAGTGATGGCAAACTCATAGTCCAGTAGATTTCAGAATTTTTAACTGAATAATTGTATTATAAAACGCGCTGCTTTGTTGAAACTAGCAATTTATAGTAGCAAATCTAACAACGATGACTTGCTGTTAAAAGGCTACAAGGATAGCGCTCGATGGCGAACTGCGGAAAAAACGACTTGCGAAAGCTTAGTGGCCAATCAACAATCAATTTTTGTTTGGTTTTATCCAGAACAATGATCAACTATTATTTATGCCGACTTTCTATCAGATTGGTAGTTGATTGCTTGTTTACATCCACCTCAAAACTGGTATTTACATTGCGCAATAACTATCTAATCAATAATTTTTGTCGCGATTCAACAATGAGAACAATTCATTTATTAACACTTCAATGCGCTATAAACCATAAGTCATGTCGATTCTAGTCATTTTACTTTTCAAATACAGTGTGTTCCAATTGTAGGCTATAAAGGTTAAAAGACAAGCAAACCGATGAACATTGTTTCATTGTTGCAAAGCAAAAAAAAGTGCTCAAGTTGAATGGAACTTCAACTTGGACTTGTTGGACCGTGTTTACTAAGGAAGCAATAAAACTTGCATTATTTATATATTATATATTATTATATATTAATAATTTCGATTGATTCTGGTTTTTACACGAATTGTTTTTCCCAAGCAGAAAAGGATATTTACTGCATAGGGCCATTCAGTAGGTTCTTGAATATTTTACTGGTTACGAAGAAGTGTCCTCAGATGTTCTTATAAGTTTAAGAACGATAAGGCCAGAGGCTGAAGGTTGAGAACTTTTAAAACTTTGGTTGTAATTTATGTGTCTAGGAATCGAGTTGACCATTATTTGAACAATGGAAATCTTCTAAATTAGCTCAAGTAGGCTCTTCAATTTTCTGCCTTTCTGGAATTAAATTCCCTCAGGTTTCGGCTTTTTAAGGCAAGAAGTGGATTTTTGAGCGAATTTTGGAATTCCAGACTAATTGCGTGATCTGAAATTTTGCAGGTCATTGTTGAAACATTCAAGTTGTTTAAATTAGCGCGTTATAAATTATTGAATTTCTTTCAGGTCCCCCATCAGTTTTAGTTTAAATCCGGTGCAGGTGGATTTTGTAGCTTTTTTTTTAATTCGGCGAAATTTTGTTTTGGAATTAGGTTCAAAAATTTGAAGTTTATAAACCAGTTCTAGTAGTCTTAATTTTTTTAACTGAAGCTTTCAAAAGGTTGCCCGAGTATTCCCTACATTTTATAGATTTTTTAAGCTTACAAAGGATTGTCCGAGAGCTCAGGTTTTTGAAACGAACACCCTTTATAAACAAATCTATAGATTTTTTTAAAGGGCTGATAAATAATATGTAAATCAAAATATCCTGTTTTATGTGTTTTTTACCCAATGACTTGTTTTGTTCTAAAGTGTGTACAAACTTTAGATATCAACAAAAGATTGCATCTTTTTCACTAGACTTCGATTAAAAACCCGAAAGTGCGATCTAGTTTTTGAAAATGTTTGTATGATTTAGTGAACAGGAAATTAGTAGTTTTGATCGATTTTTGCAAACCTTTCAGGAGATTTCTAAATTGAGGCATCTTCTACTTTGGACCACCTTGTATATGCACTTGAATAATATTGCCTTAAACTGGCATTTAATTCGGGCTTACGGACGCATATAGAACTTTCAATAACATACTTTTGAGTTTTCGCTTTCTGTTGGCATTAAAACGGTTCAGTTATGAAAATATAACAAAAATATGAAACCGTCGGCTGTTGGATATTTTTAAAACTTTCCCGATCCGAATTTCCATTGGCCACTGGTTGGCTTGCCACGAATCGTGGGTTTTCCGACTTCAAGGCTTGGCGTGCTTGGAATTATAATATGTAATTGCATATTGTTGTTACGTGGATCATTGGATTTTTGGTGCAGGAGACTAGACACTTTGTCAAGAAATGAAGCGAACATTATCAGGACCGATTCTTCATCAAAGTCTTCTTCAAGTTTGAGTAAAAATGCTCTTTTCAGTGCACCACAGCATGTTTGATGTACTGAAGATTGGCAATTGTCCTGCGCTCGTTTGCTTGCAAGTCGTAAGTGATTTTTCCAACTAGATCAAGGTTCATTGATGTCAATATGGGATAATTGGAATATTGAGGTTTATCACCAACGGATTCATAGATGTATTCATTAGAAAGAGAGTGATAATGTAATTTCATTAATTTAGTCCCCAAGCGGGTGGCATGGATTTATCCTTTTAAATTCATAATTCGCAGCATAAAGTGCAATCAGCAAGCAAACTATCTCCGGCGCTCAAAAGTCGTTTATCACCAAATCATGTGGTTTCACAAGTTAAAAATTCTTATCGCCGATGACTGAATGGATTTTTATCTAATTAAACGACGCAAACAATCTTCACTCGGTTTTATATAATTGCCAATTCCGAGGGATTTTTAGATAATCATTAGAATGGATTGATGGGATCCACTGCTGTTGATTCACTGGTATTTTTAAGACCACATTGTAATTTATTGCAATGTTCGATTTGTTCAAGCCGAGCAGAACATTGCGAGTTTCATCTCCTCCATATCTGTGTTTTTTTGTAAGCGCTGTGGCGTCATGAATGATTATTTGAAGTACAATTTACTACAAAATGCTTATTACAACAAGCTCGAAAAACGTGCCGGCATGATAACTGATACTCCCATACCTATTGTGGCATATAAGCGTAGATAATTGAGTTTTATATAAATATTTATATTGTTTTGATTGTCAGAGTAACTTGCAAAATATGTGGCACATGATCATAAAATGCATGTAACGTTTAAAAACGCCCATAGGATGAAGCGCTGAAGGCCGCAATTTTTAACTGACGCACTGCTCTATTCTATTAGCTTCTAAATAATTTCATTATTGAATAACTAGCAATAGCGGTGCATTTTCAAATCAACTTGAACTTGTCTACTTGAATCGCGTAACAAGTCAATGATCTTCCACAGTAATTATTGTTGCATTGGTATTAATTAACTATGAATGTCTTGAATTTGCAGGTGGTGCTGGCTGTTTATCAACACTTTTACATGATGGCGTCATGAATCCAGCAGAAGGTGAGATTATTGATCAATTTTCCTTAATATGATAAGTTCTGGTCGCTTCTGAATTGGCCATTTTGGTGTGAACACTGTAATTTCGACCGCTCAAACTGTGTCTAATTTATCTTCGATTACAACTTTGGGTAAAAACCTTGAATTGTACCTATTTAAATTTAAGAAATTTCACAGCAGTGCCCTGGGGGACTAATTATATTGAATATGTTAAAGCGCTAGTTGTATACAGGCTGACTGATATGGGTGATTATAGGTATTATTTATATATTTTTAAAAGCATTTTATTCTAAGTTGAATAGAAAATAACTTATTCGCTATCGAATTCAAACGTAACAGTGTAATTGCCCTTTATTTGGATGCGCTCGTTCAAACATCTTCAATGAGCACCTAGAAAGTTTCTCTTCGGACTATAACTCGACACAATTGTACTCACAACATTGCAAAACGCTATGGAGGTCCGAAAAAGACCAGAAACGGAGCAAAGTTTTCACAGCCAAAATCGTATTTACTACATTCAACTCACTCAGCACCGTCTCACAAAGCGCGCGTCAACCAAGAATGGTTAAAAAGCAACGTTCTGAGCTTCATTTTTTCCACACAATGGATGGCTAAATCTCCGGGTGCGAACCCGATGAGTTTCTCATTCTGGGGTATTTTGAAGGCAAAGGTTTGCACAAAAAAAACAGGGAAGTTTGGAGGCTCTCAAGGAATAAGTTCAGCAGCAATGGCAACGTTTACCACAAAGTGTGCAGCGTGCAGTTTAGCACCTCGCTCAAAGTCAAGGCAAAAGGCGACCAAATTGAAAATATTTAAATGCAATTAAAGAAAATACCGGATTTTAATCCTGGGACATTCCATGTCAATCAGGCTGCCTGTATGCCTGATTTATTCTAATGGCCAAAACGAATCCACCAACAATGCGTGGTATTTAAAAAAAAAATTGCATCAAGATTCCCAAGTAGTAGTCAACAGTTAATAGGTTTTCTTCACGGTTTTTGGCAAATCCCATTAGATTTCCCCAAATCTCCGGAAAACAAGTTTCGCAATCGCGTTTGCTGAGTTCTAATGGCAATTAGCATAAATTCAGGCAGGTTGACGACATTGAGGCTAAACCACAATGCTTCAGCCGTGCTAGTTTATTAGTACGGTCATCCACTTTGCTATGAGGACTGTATTTCCATAAAAACCTTTGATTGTTTCAGTTGTAAAGCAAAGAATGCAAATGGTAAACTCGCCATACCGATCAATAGTCAGTTGCCTGGTCAATGTGTACCGAAAGGAAGGATTTGCGGCATTTTACCGATCTTATACGACACAACTGACCATGAACGTGCCGTTTCAAAGCATCCATTTTATGATCTACGAATTTGCTCAGACAGTAAGCCGGCTTCGCTACACATGGGCGATTTTTTTAACTGTCGAGGTTTCAGGTTACTAATAAGGAAAGGACGTATAATCCGGCTGCTCATATGGCTAGCGGCGCGCTAGCTGGGGCTGTCGCCTCAGCAATCACCACCCCATTGGATGTGTGTAAGACGCTCTTGAATACTCAGCAAACTCCGCAGGCTGCAGGCCTGGTGCAAGCTATGAAGCTGATTTACCAGTTAAAAGGACCGGCGGGCTATTTTAGAGGCATGCAAGCTCGGTGAGATTACTTTACCTTAGCTAGCGATTTGCGGCGCTTGCTGACTGAGGTTGTTTTTAGAATCATGTATCAAATGCCGTCGACGGCAATTTGTTGGTCTACGTACGAATTCTTCAAATACCTGTTAGGAAGCACACAGGATCTTCGAATAGTCGCCCCAACGACTAAAGTTTTAGCCGAGGCAAAGTGCAGTGAGCCGAATTCCGATGAGGCCGCTCAGGCTCATGCGGAGAAAGTCACATTTAAGGCCAGAGAGAGTGGATTACCAAGGGAGTTGCCCGCCATGTCTGGTAAGTGTAATTTTCCATGAATCCTCCACGCAATCTGGTAAATTTTTCCATCTTTACAGGCGCAGGTTTGTATGGGTCAATATCATTCAATACCATGCACAATGCGGATTATCGGCAAAAAGATTCAATTTTGGATGTGGCTCACACATAGTTGTAAATACTTCATTTTTAAACGATGTAAGTATGTTTAGTATTAACTGGTTTCAGTGGCAAAGTGTGGATTATTTATTTTTTAATGCTGGGTTTTGGAATTACTTCTTTAATTGTTCAGAGTTTTAATGTTATCTTCTAATTGTTTCCAGACAATAAAAAAAACAAATTTGCGCTCCAGAATGCGAGTTTTGCCTTAAAAGTAGAGCGTGATTTTGTTGCTTAAAGCTCAGTAATAGCAACTTACTTCTACTAGTACTCTTGATTAGAACATGCAGTAATAATTGTCGTTTTTCCACAGACAAAATTGACTTGAAGATTGGAGGCATAAGTTCCCCGAAATAACCGAAAACAATATTCAAACCCAGATCTACTACTATTTATGCCTCCCTGTACATACTATAGTTTTTACTACCATTTGTATTCTATGACATAGTTGAGATATAAGTTCTAATTATCGTACATAGTGTAAATCTTCGCCATTTTTAAACATTCGTGAAAATACATTGGAGTGCGACAATAATGAGAAAAGATGGTTATTTTAAATACATCGAGGTGCTATTTGCTGTAGTTGTCTGACTAAAGGTCATCTGGATTGGAATATTTGCTATGTATCAAGTAAACGATTATTCTTCACATAATAATTCGAACTGTCCTCGTAGTTTGTTATAAGAAGACTTGTAAAAATAACGAAGATTTGTGCTAGTTGTTTTGTATTTGTCATCATAAGGTGACGTTTCTAAGCTGTGATAAAGTCCTTATCAACTGTTTTTTTGTATGATATTGACTTCGTTCAGATGGGGGTACTATCATATTATTTTTAACTACGTATACACATCAAAATGTGCTAATGTTTATTTAATTTATATCGAGTCTATATGCGGATCCCATAGAGTATTTGTACAAGGCTTTTTCGAAAATACGTAACAATATAAAACGGAAACTAGTTTTCTTATGGACTGCATGGTTTGCTTGGGACCGCCACAATGCCTTAGTTTACGTGAGTCAAATTGACCAGCGGATCCTAAAATTTGTAACAACATTCTCGGAATGCCGTGTATACGTTTCATTACACCGTGATAAGGGTTCTTGTCACTTAAACCCATTTAGTTTTACTGCGTAGTGTCATAGTTTGTTTTGTTTTTTTTGTGAGGAAAGAACATTTTTGTAAAAAGTGATGTTTAAATATAGATACATGTTACACAGGTTCTGTTAGATTTTACCCAAATTCCTGAAAACATCCTTCCTTAGATTTTACAGTTTTATAATAAACGGCCATTGTTTCAACCAGCCTAATTTCTGAGGTGATTGAGGCCTCATCAAGTCATATTGACAATTTATCAAAGTAATTTTTTCGTGAAATTCTGAGTTTATTATCGAAAATGTCGCGATTGCCGACGTTTGGGGGTAAAAAACCTACCATTAAAACTACTTCGACTGTTACCAGTCGAACAGCGGCTGGAGGCTCTAAAACGACGACAACTACTCAAATTCGAGAGTTATTGCCTTGTGCGAGTGGTAAGTAAGGGGTTGTTAGTTAAACCTGAGCAATTGGAAGATTTTCTACCAAACGCAAAATTAGGCCTTCAGCATGAACATTGTTTATAGCTCAACCGAAAGCAAAGGGAGGCTGCCAGCCGGCATGTGCCTCAAAGTCTGCTAGAGCTCAACAAGAAAGTGCCGCCGTGCCCGCAGGGTATCAAATTTTACGCAATTGTTTAATTTTTTTATATCTGAGTCTGAACGCTTTTTAGCCCGAGGCAAATTCCCAGACCAGGAGCTTCCAGGCAAGTAGTTGCGTTTCACATTTTCTATTTATGATGTGTGAATCAGAGTGAACTATAGAGAAAAGTGGAAATTTGGAAAACAATATCCGTTTGCTTTGGTCAGCAAAGCCATCAGCAAGCTTCATGAAACGGGTTTTCATTCAATTCGGACGAGAAAATGTCTTAATTTTTCTTTACAGTTTAAGTTTTACAGTTTAGGTTTACAGACACATTTTTAACAGAAGTATTGAACTCTTTGATTGTGCGATGATAATGGTCTTTCTATTCATGCTGTCTCGTCATATCAGGGTGTTGTTAGAGCTCTTGTCCCAGCCGCAGATCTTTGCCTCTCTGGTACTTCTCTTTTTGTCCTGTAGGGACTTTAGAGACTTTGTCCTTTATTATCTTGAATACCTATATCAAAATTCTTCTTTAACTTTTTGTTAAGTGTTGTTTTTGTTAAGTTTAAGTTAAGTTAAGTGTTTAAAGTGTAAAATTTCATTCGATCTGTAATTTTGATAATTCTTGCCGTTGTTAAGTTTTTAGAGCTCGCTCGTCCGTTAGTGTTTTCTTTAGTATGGTTCGATTGTCCCATTTTATTTCCTATTATTCATTTCTGAAATATTCTTACATCTTTTTGCGGATTTTTGTTCTTTTTCATCCCCGTCTGCACTATCTTGAATGTTAATACTTTTTGCATCGCGCTCTATTTTTACAGTAGTTTTGACTGTTACCTTTCCAAAGTACCTTAGATTGAAGAATGAACTGAAGATAGAATGAGGCATAAACAATTTTCAATTCTTCAATTGCAACGGATACAAATTTGACTTTATTTAAGCAGAATTCAAGCGCCCGGCTATAGAATGGCAACGTCGGCACCTAGACCTAGAGAAGGTTTTCCACCGGGAAGAGGTCAGCATCGGATTAATTTACGGGAAAGAAACTGGTTGAAATTAGGCAATTAATCTTAAGTATTTACTAGCGCCTCAGCCTGGACAAGCTGGATGCTCATCCCGTGCAGGCACAGGAATACCCAGATGCGGAGTGAGTAAAACGCAAGAAAAAAAGCTTTTGTAAATGCGGATTTTTAGGGAGGCTCAAGGGCTGACCAAAATGAGTTGGCGGAAAAGGTAAGAACTTTAGCGTTACCTAAATGAAAATGAACCCACTGACTGGTTTGGAATCGCCTTGGCGCTATTGATCCAACAAGTTGGGGTTTTATAACGTTCAAGTAAGTTGAGACTGGTAATTGTTAACGGGGAAAATGGCCAAAAAAACCATTGCAAAAAATCACAACAGACCCTCATTGGCTGTTGCCGACATACCCTTTCCACTAGACTTATCAAAAGAATTATCGTCGATTTTCGACATTCAATCGCGGCAACGCGAGCGCATTTCCGCTCATATTTGCCGAAATATCCGCAAAACCAAACTAAGGGCCTTGGAGAGAATGGGCCAAATGCACGCTCTTCCTGCAGCATCTGCAAGCGGCAGGGAAATCCGAAAATTGGCTGAAGACTCTCCAATAACCGACATGTCCAGGTAATGGGCGCTTGTTCGCGCTCTTCTACTCACGTTGGAGTCGGGAAAGGTTTCAGGAAAAGTGCATCAGGAAGCGAATTCAATGTTCCGCTTTGGAGAAACGATTTCCTCAGATTGTGGCGGAGATTATGAAGGATACCAAATTGCAGTTTAGGCAAGTTACCCATCGGGCTGGCCTTAATTTAAAGGTACCTATTTACCTGCAGGGTTTTGTATACTTTAATAACCCAAAGCTCGGAATTTAGGCCTGGGTAACACTGTGTTGAGTGGCGCTATTGAGTTGTTGCCGCTCTCTGAGTTAACGAGTCATTTATTAAAGCTTAACGAGACCCGAGACTGGAATTTGCACATCTAAAAAAAAGCCCATCAACATTTTTTCTGAGCAACGTTTTACTACTTTGTTCAAGCAACTAAAAAAAGTTATCTAGATTCTCCCAGCAACAGAAGTGAGTCCAAAGAAAGTGTTTTCTTGTAAAATCGATCTCTTAATTTTTTTCCATAAAAGATTCAGTTTGCCAGTATTTTACAGTAAAACGTTAGGAATAACGCGGTTTTTCTGTTTAGAGACAGTGTTGTTTAGAAATATTGATCTAAAAGTGAAGACATCCCAGTTTCCAAAAGTTTTCCAGTTTTCAAAAATAAATAATTACAAAGTTTCGCTTTTTCAGTTCGAGAAAAATACCCTCAAATAATTATTAGGTTTTTGTCCATAATTCGAAGCTGCAAAAGGTTTTCTTTAAAAAAAAAGCCGTTAAGGAGGCAAGTGTTCCAATAACATTTATTTTATAATTTTTCAAAGAAAATACCTGAATATTGTTAGTATTTTAACTAAATAACAATGCGATTTTTGCGTAGAAATAATTACTTAATAGACTTTGTTAAAACTGAAATGACCTGACAATTTAAAGAAACTTTAAAAATCTTCAGTGCGATGAGCGATGAACGGCGCATTTTATAAATAATTTTTTGTAAACTTTTGCTGGTCGTTTTTTCAAGATAATCCTACTTATTTTCTGTAAAAAACGGAATTAAATTATTTGATTTTTGTGTCAAATTCAAAGCTGAAAAGAGTTTTCTAAAGTTCCTTGCAACCGATGAATGAGGCGAAATTTCTAGCAAAATTAATTTTGTAATTTTTGGCTGAAAAGACCCCATTATTGTCAGAAAATCAGAAAATAATGGTTTTTTGCATTTTCGATTCAGATTAATTGAACCTTAATGGTTTTCCGAAAAAAACGGGAGAAATTTATTTCCGTTTTTGTGACAAATTCAATGCTGAGAAAAGTTTTTTAAATAGTTTTACAAAGCTATAAATTTATCTTGTAATGTTTCGCGTAAAAGACCTAAAGATCGTCAGTATTTTTAAGTGAAACTTTACAAAAAGAGCGTTTTTGAGTAGAAAGTAAAGCAAAAAAAATTTCAGTTAAAACTAAAAAAAACACATTTTTTCTTCAGAGGTATGGAGGTGATGAGATTTCTAAATAGTCTGTTATAGACTTTCGCTAATTCTGTTAATTTTTTGATAGCAAATTATTTGATTTTTGTTCCAAATTCGAAGCTGAAACGGGATTTTAAATTTAAATTTATTTCATATTTTTGCTAAAAATAACTTAAGATTGTCAGCATTTTCAGGTAAAACTTTATAAAATTGAGTATTTAGAAGAGGAACTTGGCGCACCAAGCCATTTGCGCCGCACTGCGCTAACTCCTTAAAATTCACTGAGTTACCTAGGCCTACTATGACGTACTACTATTAAAAACTTTCGCTTTTTCAGTTCGGGGAAATAATTCTGGAAAAAAACCCAGAAATAATTATTACGGTTTTGTCCATAATTCGAAGCTGTAAAAAGTTTTCCAAAAATGTCTGCGAAGCGATTAAGAAGGCGAGTGTTCCAATAAAATCTATCTTATAATTTTAGTAATTAGTAATATCTAGTAATTTTTTGTAAACTTTTGCTCTCTGGCCCTTTCTTCAAGATAATCTTAATTACTTTCGTTAAAAAGTGAATACAATTATTTGGTTTTTGAGCCAAATTCGAAGTTGAAATGGGTTTTCTAAAGTTCCGTGCAAACCGATGAATGAGGCAAATTTTCTAACAAAATTAATTTTGTCATTATTGTCAGAAAAGAAGGAACTCATCAGAAAATAAATTATTTTTGCGTTTTCGATTAAAAACTTTTAGTTTTGTGATCGGTGTTGGAGAAAACCTTAATTAATGGTTTTCGGGGAAAGACGGGAGACATTTATTTTCGTTTTTGTCCCAAAATCGACGCTGAAAAAAGTTTTTGTAAAATTTGTACAAAGCTATAAATTTATCTTGTAATTTTTCGCGTAAAAGACCTCCAGATCGTCAGTATTTTTAAATGAAACTCTACAAAATAGAGCGTTTTTGAGTAGAAAGTAAAGCAAAAAAATCAGTCAAACCCAAAAAAACACATTTTTTTAACAAACCTTACAGTCAGAGATATCCAATCAATCTGTTAAAAACTTTCGCTTATTCCGTTCGTTTTTTAATAGAAAATGATTTGATTTTTGTTCCAAAATTAGAGGCTGAAAAGGGATTTCAAATCTTTTCACAAAGCGATCAAGGATTCTAAATTTATTTCATAATTTTTTTGGCTTTTGGAAACGTTGGCAAATTACGCATTTAGAAGAAAGAGTGACTTGACTAAAACCGGAAAATTCCGAAATTTTGAAGAAATTTTAAAAATATTATTAATAAATGGCCCCTAAAATAAATCTCAAAACAAGTGAAAAAAAGTCATCAACATTTTCCTAGCAACAGAGCTGCGTTACTGCGCCGGTGCGTTGGGTTGGCGCACCAAGCCATCCTCCTCAACACCTAAAAATTCACTGAGTTACCCGGGCCTATCGGAAATTCTTCTCAAACAATGAGAAAGTTCAAAGCTAGTTTTGGGGCTTTGAACTGTCTATCTCGCTCATCACTAATTTCGGGCTTAGAAGAAAAGTCTTCCTGTCCGCAAACCACCTTTCAAGCCATTTTTTGACAATATTGTATTAAAGATAAATAATCCTCCAGGTTAGAGAACATCCCCGCGAAGGCTTTTCAGTAACATGCTACAAACATTTGGGGAGAACTGAAAATTACGAAACATTCTTGCGCGTTAGAAAACAGCTTGAAATGCGCTGGATTCTGCACTGTGACCTCATGAGGCGTTTCCTAAGGGAAGGTGTCTTGGGGTTGCCTTTCCAGCTGTTTAAAATCCAGCTGCCGAGAATTTTCGCTCTGGATGAGCTGCAAAGTTTGTTTAATGAGGTAACAATGCCCATTAACAAAGCCTAAGCAATAGAAACAGTTAAAATTCCACAGGAAGTGCATTCTTCAGCAGTGATTCTGCATGACTTCCGCAAGCGAATGATCAAACTTGTTGACGCAAACCCTGCGTGCAAGAAAGGTTTATCCAAATTCCTGCCTGCTTGCACTGGCTTGTTTTCCATTTATGTAAGCGCCTGCATAAAGCAGACGATAGAGCACATAGTGGACTTTACCGGATCTGCACGTGCGGCTCCTTTTTTGAGGCTCTATGCAACTTTTGACCAGAACATTGACCTCCATCCCAATAAAAATCAGGTAAAATGTTTTCCGTTGGAACATGCTGGGTTTTTAAGGGGTTTTCAGGTGGTTAAAGCTTTCCATCAATTACTGGACGATCTGGTCAGCGCCGGTCACGACCTGAATGTAATGGAAAAGGGCGTCATCAAAGGCTCGAGGAAAATTTCCTTAGGTTTAACGCAGGAATTTATCCACAATTGCAAGCAAGATATTGCTGAGAACATCGCCCGGCTTTATGAGCCGATTCTGAAGTATTTGAGCAAGCTTGAGGGGGATTTCTGCGAAATTTACCCGGATATCAACTCGGCCAATAAGGGGCGCAGCATTGACTTGATGTTTGAGGATGGATGCCAGAGAATCCAGTTTTTCAAAAAGTAGTTGCGACCCTTGCTGGAGTTAAAAACAATCCATTCTATTCTATTGTAGATTCCTTAGCAATGTCGATCATCTCCCAGATAATGAGTACTTCGAAATAGGGCAGGTTGATTTAACCACGTATCGGCAGACGTTGCACTCAAGCTTGAAGTGGCTTCTGGACTCGATTTTCCAAAATTTATCCGCCCAGCATTTGTGGGAAGTCAACGACATTTGCGAGAGCTTCCAACTGATCAAGGCTCGAGCCAACCAAAAGCCGTTTACCACTGAAGAGTTGATCGAAACTGGTAAGTCTTGAGATCAGCAGCTTGAAGTTGCTCAAAGGGGCTTTTAAGGTAAGTTTATGAGCTGGGTGAAAAACGAGCAACTGGATCAGTTAACTGAAAGAGTGCAGGCTGCTTTGAGCTCTCTGTGCAACATCATCACCTTGGGTCTACTGGATGAGGAGCACATGAAGAGGAACTCTGAAGGTAAGTTTCGGTCTTTACCTTAAGCTCTTCTGCATGGATTGTTCCCAGCTCTAAACTGGCTGGATGAGGTGCTGCCAATCATTGAGCAGCACTCGCTCACATATGAGCAGTTGAAGTTTGAAGCCGAGGAGAAATTGCAAAAGGTGATTGAGGACATTTCTGTGCTGATCACTGACACCTATCCTCTACTAGTGATTTTGGATGAAATGGACGATATTAAGCTAGCCAGGAAATACCTCAGCCAAATCACCCTGCACATGAGCAAGATAAAGGTGCAACTCCCATCCAGCGCCCTTTTAAGCTTTCACTAAACCTCCCCAACTCTACAGCATATCCAGTCCCGAATCGAGTGGATCAACAAGGAGGAAGTCTGCCTAAATTTCCCCCAATCCAGCTATGCGGACTTCGAAACCTTGAAAGACTACGTCTATCCGTTTTACCACCTTTTAAAGCTAAGCTTGGACGTTCAGAAGCACGTCTCTGTGTGGCAAAACGGCCAATTCGATCAGCTGGACTTTGAAAGCGCCAACTCCAAGGTGGACAAATTCGGTGCCGAGTTGGGAAAGGTTCAGAAAAAATACCGAAAGCGACTCAGGCAGGCGCAAGATGAGAATTTGCCCATACGGTAAGACTATTCAACACCAGAAATGGTTTGAAAGTGGTCGATGTTCCTCATAAGATTCAAGGGAACCGTGGATGATCCAGACATTTTAAACTGGCCCGCCCCTTTGAAGCTGTGCGGAATGTGCCTGAATATTCTGCAGGAATTTAAGCCATCATTGACCATAATGCAGATCATGTGCAATGATGCCTTGCGGCCCAGACATTGGAAGGCCATGTCCGAAATTGCTGGGTTCAACTTGATGCCCAATGCTGGTAATTAGGCTGAAAGATGGTTGGTTTCGCACTACAAATTCCGTTGGGTTGCAGGGACCACTTTGAGGAAAATGGTGGAGTTTGACCTCAAAGGCAAGCTGCAGGAATATGGCATAATTTCCACTTGCGCCTCCAAAGAGCAACAGCTACTGGAGCAGCTGACGTCCCTAAAGGTTCAGTGGAAAACCGTAAACTTTACCATCAAAGCAAAAAAATCCACTCCAACTCTAGAAGAGTTGAATGATATAGAAACTTTGGTAGAGGACCACGCGATCAAACTCCTGAATATGAGAAGCTCAGTTTTCGTTAAGCCCTATGAACGGGAGGTTTTGGAGTTTTCAACCACACTCCAAAGGATTTCGGCGTTTGTCCACGACTGGAAAGTGTTTCAGAGTGCCTACATGAAACTCCTTCCGGTATTCCAGCTTAAGGACGTCTGCTGCAGCATCCCAAAACAGGCAGAGCTTTTCCAGACGTGCCACAGATTTTTCCAGGAAATCACCAAAAAAACCTCCGAAACCCCTGCAGTGCTTCACCACATTTGCCAAACAAATATTGTCGAAGACACCAAAATCTCCCTGCTACAGCTCGAACACGTGCAGAAGGGGGTCGATGCCTATCTGGAAGGTATCAGGGTAAAATGCCCCAGACTGTACTTCATATCCAATCAAGAGACAATCACACTCATGGCCACTGATTGGGAGTTTTGCGGCGGGAGTTTTCTATGGAAACTGTTCCCTGGCGTTGATTCCTTGGGGTTTGGAAGCTCTAAGGAAGTTATCGCTTTCAAAAGCCGCCAAGGTGAAGAAGTGCGTCTAAGACGCCCGATAGATCTGAGCACTGTGGAGAGCACCTTCAACCAATTACAAGCCGCAATGGTTGACAGCCTCCAGCAGATCGCTGCGGATTGTTTCAAAGTCTACAAGAAATTGCCCGTTAGGGACTTGGTGCAAAACTACCCGCAGCAAGTGCTGCAAGTGATGGCGCGAGTCTTCTGGACCGACCAAGTGGAGAACGCCCTCAAACTCTCCCATAACATCAAGCTGCTGATCTGCAAGCAAAAGCTGGAAAGCTCCATTGAAGAGAAAATTGCTCTTATCAACAGCAAAGTAAACCAGTTGGAGAGGGTTGTTTTGAGGAACCTACTAATCAGCGACTTGAACAATAAGTATCTACTCAGCTCTTTTGTGAAAGACGGTTTGGTGATAGACCACACTCACTTTGAGTGGCAAGTGCAACTGAGGTACTACTTTCAGAGCTCGTTGTGTTCAGTCCGAATGCTGAAACATTCCCTGGATTATGGCTATGAGTATCTGGGAAATAGCGAGCAAATTGTGCTCACGCCTCTAACTGATCGCTGCTTTGTTGCTTTGCTCAGCGCGTACTTTTCCAGCTGTTTTGGCTTTGTCCGGGGCAAAATTCACTCAGGAAAAGCCAGCACAGTTCGAGCCCTAGCAGAGGCTTTAGGGAGGCTGTTTTTGAGCTTCACCTGCCTTGGAAGCATGGATGCGGAGCCGCTCCTTCAGCTGCTAAAAGGCGCTGTTCAATGCGGCGCCTGGATCACCCTCAAGCACTTCGAGCAGCTGAAAGTGGAAGTTCTTTCAGTAATTTCCCAAGATCTTCTAGGAATAATCGAACTGAAGAAACGAGACCACTGCAGCGCGAAAGATTGCTTTGTTGTTGGGCAGTTGTCTACCGGGAGAACTGGAGTTGAATTGCCTGAGAATTTCAAGGTTTTATTCAGGACCTTCACATTGACTCAACCAGAGTTGGGAGCAGTTCTAGAGGGTCTCCTTGCTAGCAAGGGCGTGAAAGACTGCAGGCGATACTCCAGGCTGATTAGCCACTGTTTTGCCCTCTTAGAGGATGCGCTTAGCAGCGAAAGGCAATTCAGTTTCAGGCTGGGCGAAGCCAAAAAGTTGCTGGAGATAATTGAGGAAATTGCCTCCGCCAACCGACCTGAGGAGTTTTGCAGCATACTCTGCCAGAGCCTCAACGGGGCCTTTATGCCTTCGCTCAACTGCAGCGATCAAAAAATCTTCTCGCAAGTTCTTTGGGAGGTTTTCCACGAATCTGCTCCCCCAGCTCAAAGCTTTGAGGTTGATGAGGACATCAACCCGGTGAGCAACCAGGACTTCAACCGGCGTGTTTCTGATCTCTTTGCCTCTATGCAACGTTCTAGATCAGTGATTCTGTTAGGGAGGCCGTTTACTGGCAAAACCAGCGTGTTGAAAGCTTGCGCTCGCTTATTTAAGAGGCTCAATAGCGCGGAAGTTGAACTGCACGTTTTCAACCCGAAATGCCTCGATTACCAGGCCCTGATCGGGCATGGGTCGACAGACAAGAATGTTAGATGGATTGATGGCGTTTTGCTCAGAATCATCAGACAGGCCGGTTTGGGGGCAAGCTGGATACTGCTCGATGGTTGCATAGAGGAAAGCTGGAACAAAGGACTGTCCAGCGTGGTGGAAGATGGCACGTTGTGTTTGGAGTCGCTGGAAAGCCTGAAACTGAGTGAGAGCTTGAGGTTTATATTTGAGACCATCTGCTTGAAGAACGCCAGCCCTTCTATGGTAAGTGTTTCGTAAATTTCCCTATGTGCCCCCAACCCATTCATTTTAGGTATCGGGCAGCACCACAATTTACTTTCCCCCTGAAACGCTACCCTACACCTCTTTGCTGGAAGCCTGGATCAAAGCATGTCAGTCCCACTGGTTTTTGGAGCATCGCACTCAAATAGAAGAAATATTCAACTGGTTCCTCCCGCCCTGTTTAGAAGCATTTAAAGCGCCAGGCTTGGACAAGCTTTGCGATGTGCCAGACAATATTCTGGTCCAAAACACCATCGCGTACTTCCAACTGATTCTAGACGATGCTAGTTTGAACGTGAATGAAGATCCGAAGAACCTGCAGGCCTGGATCCATGCCACCTGCCTACAGGCCGGAGTGTTGGGATTTTCGGCTAGCTTATCGGGCGAGAGCCAGCAGAAGTTTGATGAGTTTTTCAAGTGGCTCTGGAAGGGCCAAAATCCATCGCATCCTTATCCCAAAGGCCTGGATCGGCTGGAAGTAGGCATTCCACCTGAGGGCGTTTTGCTTGATTACTGCTACCTCTACAAGCAGCGGGGCGCTTGGAAGCTCTGGGCGGATCTGCTGAAGAACGAGAAAATCGAGCTGCCCAATTTCGTCCCCACTGTGGACAGTGTGAGGTGCAACTTTCTTCTGGAGCTGCACATCAAGTACAACAGGCGCTTTCTACTGGTAGGGCCGAGGGCCACTGGAAAATCGCTGATCTTCAAAAACAGCTTCCTGAATCGCCTGCCGGAGGAGAAGTTTGATAAAGCTCTCATCACAGCAGGCAGTCACTTGAGTGCTGATTTCCTCCAGAAGTTGTTGCATGGCAAATTGGTCAAGAAGCACAGTGGGATTTACGCCCCCAGTGCAAACAAGCGCTTCATTTGCTTCCTGGACGACTTGCATTGCTGCCCAAAGTCTGGCAGCACCTTTGAACAACTAAGGCAGCAGCTGGATCACAACCAGTGGTGCGACTTGAAGAGCTGGGAAAGTGCTTCTTTGGAAGCCACGAATTTCATGATTTCCTTCAGCGGTAGCGGTTTTCCAAAAAGGCTGTTAAGGCACTTCAATCTGTTTGCCATCAACCAGTTGAGTGAGGAGAATGTTTCCAGAATATTCCTGCAGAACTTGACGCAGGCCTGGAAGAAAGCGGCACTGCCCAATGACGTGGTAAATGCGGCCAATCTCTTGGTGGGCGCGTCGCTGCAAGTCTACAACCGCTTGGGGATGCAGATGAAACCCACTTTGGCAAAATTCCATTATCTCTTTGACATCAACAGTCTGTCCACGGTGTTCCAAGGCTGCGTCCTTTTGAGGAAGGACGTCTACGATGGTAACAAGAAAATCTTCGTCCGGCTGTGGGCGCACGAGGTTTTCCGGGTGTTTGCAGATCGGATGTTTTTTGAGGATGTTCACCGTTTATGTGCCCTCATCAAGGAGAGCGTGGCTGCAAATTTCCCTGCGGAAGATTTCCAGGAAGTTCTTGGCGACCTGCCCTTCAACCGGCTGTTTTTCGCAAGTTTCCAGGATAGGAGCTACGATGAAGTCAAGTTTCAGCTGCTAGAGGAAAAGTGCTTGCAGTCGTTGCAGGAATACAACAGCAGGGTCAAGCCCCAACTTGATTTGCTGCTGTTCGACTACGTTCTGGAGCATCTGGCGCGTTTGCTCAGACTATTAGCCATTCCCAATGAAGGCGCCATGCTGATTGGATTGCCTGGATATGGGCGCCAGTCGCTGGTAAAATTCGCAAGTTTTATCAGCAAACGCGAATTTTCCCAGTCGGAAAGTGCCGGCAAATTTTGCCAGCACAAGGAGGAATTTAAGAGCGTGATGAGATGCTGTGGTGGCATCGGGAGTAAGTGGGTGTTTTTTGGCGCTGGCCAGGACGAGCTCCTCGGCATAGTAGACCACTATATAAGAGATGGCGATGTGACCGACTTGTATGAGCCGGAGGAGAAACAGGAGCTGCTCGAGCTGAGCCGACTGGCGGCTCAAGGAGGCAACAGAAATCTGGAAATCAGCTCCCACAAGGTTTTCCTGTATTTTAACCGGAAATGTCGCGAAAATTGTCATGTGTTTCTGTCCGTAAACCTGGAAGGGCTAAGGGCGAGACTACTCGCCTACCCCTCATTGGCCACTCGCCTTAATTTGATCCTCTGGAACGATTGGCCTGAAAGTGCTCTAACATTCATCTCAACCCAGGCCATGCGCAACGTACATCTGGAAAACGGGATTAAAGAACGCGCTTCGCTGGCTGCTCAACATTTTTACCAGTCGTGCCAACGCTTGGAGCTTCTAAAGGGTTGCGTCACTCCCAAGGCCTACTTCCACTTCCACGAACTCTTTGTTGGATTGCTAGAGGAAAAACAGAAGCGGCTGACAAAGAAAAAGGAAAAATTCCAGCAGGGCCTGGCCAAGTTGTCCTACGCGGCCAGCCAGATTCTCAACATGCAACAAGCTCTGGCCGAATATCAGCCGCAACTAGAAGAAATGACCGAGAACGCCGTCAGCATGACCGAGCAAATCGCTCTGGAAACGCTCCAAGTGGAAAAGGCCTCCGCCCTAGTGCGGAAGGACGAGAAAACGGCCAAAGAACAAGCGGCAGTAGCGGAACTTTTAAAGTCCGAGTGTGAATCCGAGCTGGCGCAAGCCATCCCCATTTTGGAGGACGCAATTTCCGCCCTAAACACCCTCAAGCCCTCCGATATAACTTTGGTAAAATCCATGAAAAACCCTCCTGATGCCATCAAACTAGTGATGGCTTCAGTGTGTGTGATTAAAGATGTTAAGCCTGATCGAATTCCCGATCCCAGCACGGGGCGCAAGTCGCTCGACTACTGGGGGCCCTCAAAGCGCATTTTGGGAGACATGAACTTCCTCCAGACCCTGAAGGACTTCGACAAGGACCATATCAAGCCCGAGGTGATGGTGAAAATCCGAAAAGACTATCTTCCGCATAAGGACTTCAAGCCCCATGTGGTTGCTAAAGCGTCCAGTGCAGCTGAGGGTCTTTGCAAGTGGATCATTGCCATGGACATGTACGATAGAGTGGCTAAGGAAGTGGCGCCGAAAAAGGAGAAACTCAATAAAGCGGAAAGGGAGTATGCAAACACGATGATGGTGCTGAATCAGAAGAAAGAGGAAGTGGTCCGGATTGAAGAGAAGCTGGCGCAGCTTCACGGGCTTTTGGAGGAGGCCACCAGGAAGCAGCGAAAGCTGCAAATTGAGGTGGACATCTGCAATAAAAAGCTGCAAAGCGCTCAGAAGCTGATAGGGGGCTTGAGTGGGGAGCGGCTCAGATGGACCGAGGCCGCAGAAAGCCTCCAAAGCCACTATGAGGTTCTCGTTGGTGATCTGCTGCTGTCCAGTGGGATCATTTCCTATCTAGCTCCACTTCACAAAAAACCGCGACAAACAACACTCAAAGAATGGCAAAGACATCTGCAAAAAAACAACATTCCCTTGAGCAGCGACTTCCAGTTTGCCTCAGTCCTTTCCAATGATGTGGAAGTTCAGCGATGGATGGAATTCGGCCTTCCTGCCGACTCATTTTACATAGAAAACGCCGTAATTTTTGGCAACTCCAAGCTGTTCTGCTTGCTTCTGGACCCCCATGCTGAAGCCCTGCAGTGGATCGCCAACTTAGAAGCCTGCAATAATCTTACGATCACTGAATTTACTTTCAATAACTGGCTGATGACCCTCGTTTTCTGCCTAACTAAAGGAAAAACTGTGCTGATTAAGGACTGCAAAGGGGAGCTGCCTACCTGCCTGCATCCCTTCCTATGTGGGCAAGGCCTGATGAACCCCCTGGATGGCCAGAGGGTTGAAATCCACCACCTTTCTAGAGTCTACATTGTGTGCTGCAACCCCAAGACAAATTACCCTAGAGAAATCACCAGCAGATTAACTACGATTGATTTTTCGTTGACTTTCCAGGCTCTAGAGGAGGACGTTTTGAGTACGGTTGTGGCGATTGAAAACCCGAATATTCGGAAGCAATCCAAGGAGCTGACGCAGCAAAATAAAGCCAATAAGGCCGAGCTGAAGGAGCTGGAAGCGAAAATCCTTAGCACTTTATGCGAGAGCCAGGCGGACATACTGGAGGACGAAGACAGCATTCTAAGATTGGATAAGTCCAAGGAACTAACCAAGCTCGCCATGGAAAAGCAGGCAAAAACCAAGCAACTAGCTGAATTAATTCACGAAGTTAGATCCAAGTACTCCATGGTGGCGAAGCATGCTGCCTGTCTGTTCTTCTGCATCAGCCACTTGAGTAAAGTGCACCATATGTATCAGTTTTCCGTCAAGTGGTTTAAAAACCTATTCTTTATTTCAATTTTGAATGCGGGAAAGTCGAAGGATTTCCAGACTCGCTGCCAAAATCTTTGTAGCACTTTTACCTTCGATCTGCACCAGAGCGTCATCAAGGGGATTTTTGAAAAACACAAACTTCTCTTCACTTTCTGGCTTGCCTTGCAAGTGCTTGTCAACAACGGCGATGCTTCTGAAGAGGAGGTGGCGCTGTTTTTTCAATGGGAGAGCTTGGAGGCTGCAACTTTTCGAGGAGAAAAGCCTGGATGGATTGCGCAGCCCATATGGCTCAACTTGCTTAGGCTTGAAAGTTCGCAGCTCTTCAAGGGTGTTGCCCAGTCGTTAATTGAGAACCCTTCCGAGTGGAGGAAATACTGTCAAGGTATGCACCCTCCAAAACAGTTTCACAGGCTGAGCATAGTGGGCAGAATTATTCTGGACCAGGTGTTGAAGCCCGAAGAGACTTTAATCCAGATTAGAGCTCTGATAAAATCCAGTCTAGGTGAACGCTTCTTGACGCCAATTGGATTGGATATGCAGCAGACCTTTAGCGAGTCCTACAACTTGCTGCCGATATTATTCATCCTAACTCCCGGCCTGGACGTGCTAAAAATCCTGCAAAACTTCGCCCTGGTTAAGGGAGAGTTGCATAATTTCCATCACTTGAGCCTCAGCGAAGCGAACTGCTTCAACGCCGAAGAACTGATTGAACAAGGCCGGAAATCTGGGTCTTGGATTCTTCTGCAGAACTGCCACTATACAGGCGAGTGGCTGTTTCAGCTGGACCAACTGCTGAAGAGCATGGATTTTGAAAATACCTGCGAAAACTTCCGGCTCTTCCTCACCAGTAGTGATAGTTCAGAGTTTCCTTTGGAGCTGATCCAGAATTCCATCAAAATCGTTGAAGAGCCGCCGGATAGTTTAGGAAGAAACTTGCTGCGCATCTACAACAACCCTCCCTTAATAGGTAAGGGATTTTTCTATGGCTGTCCTGGTAAGCAGGAAGTATTTTCCAGGCTCCTGTTCGCTTTATGCAACTTTCACACTTTGCTCCAGCAGCGGCGTAAGTTCAGGAACTGGAATGTGATGTGGAGGTTTGAGGAGGCAGATCTTGGGCATTCATTGGAGCTTTTGCGGGAGAGTGTTAACGAGCAAATTTGCCTGTTTGAGAAAGTTTACTTTGTTATTGGCGAGTGTATTTACAACGGGCATTTGGGCAGCAACCATGAAAAGAGTTTTGTTCTGGAAATGCTCAAGACTTGTGTAAGCGAGAAGGTTCTGGGAAAAAATACAGGACAGTCTAATGGAGGTCGGATTCAGACTCTCCCCAGCAAGAATGATCGACGCGACTATTTGAGGCACATTGAGGGCCTGCCAGAGCAGGAGGCAGCTGATTCGCTCTATTTGACTGAGCATCAGTTAGCCGAACAGCAGTTATTAACAATCAGGAATTTTTCGGCTACTGGTTCCCAAATGCTTCAAACTCGACAGCCAAGTAGTAGGAACCATAAAGGAACTTTTGCCTCTGTAGACGAGCTAATCGAGCTGATTCCAGCAAACATCCAAAAGAAGTTTGTCGAAGACTTTCTAACCAGAGAAAGTCGTATGTATCGCAGGCTTTTGGAGAGAATCCGGGCAGATTTGAGGCATCTGAAGTTGGCATTGCAAGGAGACTTGGAGCTGAGTGATTCTTTAGAGGACATTGACTTAAATATCTTGCAAAACACGGTGCCAAAGGCTTGGCTGAAACTGTGCTACCCCACTTTGGCCAGTCTGGCACAATTTGTAAAGGACCTTTCGGAAAATGTGCGGTTTTTGGAAAATTTCACACCAAACACCTATTTAGTAAGAGCGCTTTTCTTTCCCCGGGCGATTTTGGCTTTCACCAAGCTAAAGTATGCCAAGGAGGCGAAAGTTATGCCAGAAAACATCGATTTCCTCTATAAAGGGCCGATGGACACAGACGCTGGAGAATTTAGTGAGTTTGCAGCTGTTTTTAATGGGGTTTTTCTTATGGGGGCCCGATGCGATCGCCACTGTGGATTGGTTGAGTTAAACCCGGCGACTTCCTACAGTCTACTGCCTTCAATAATCATCCAACCTGCTGTGTTGGATGAAGGAGCTTTAACTAAGGGTTTGAAATGTGGACTATTTAAGACTGAGCCTGGCCTGGAAAATTTGGCGCTTCCAGGCGCTGATAACTTTGTATCATTTGTTAAATTGCGGTGTGAAAATGGGAGTTTCTGGGCAAAAAGGGCTGTATATTTAGTGGGCGAAGTACCATCAGCCTAACGCTATATCTGGATGGATTTTTGTGCCATTTCTCCTTGGTTTCATTAATGTGTTTTTAGAAACATTTCTTTTATTAACTCTCGTGTCTAAATTTAGATGAATATTTTTTAGATAATAAATTAACACAAATAAGTTAACCAGGTAAGTGCCCAAGGCCTATAACAAATCAAATGTACAATTTCTACTTGATTTCAACATCAAGTTCAGTCAGTTGGTTCATTTTCCATCAACGCTGGAAACGGCTGAATTGCCACACTGTCTTCTAATTAAATTTCTTTAAGAAAAACCGGGAAGCTGCCCAAGAGATGTTCAACATGTCCAGCGCCGAGGTCCCTATGCGTAAGAGAAACAACACCAATATTGAACAATCTTTTGCAATTCATCAATATTCCAGTGGAAGGTCAAGTCGGGCATCAGCTATTAGAAAGATCGATTGCCAATCGAGGCCAAAAAGTGTTTGCCCAGTCGAGTCATCGTCAAAAAGTCCAGGGACAAAATGCGGTGAAAACCCCGGCAGGTACTTCAAGGCTCTGAACATTAAAGAAACATTCCTGATGTTTCTTCTATAGGAATGGAGCGGCTGCTTCAACAAACTTACAGCGAAAAGCGAGTGGAACGCGACGATGTGGCGGAAAGAGTGGTGAAGAACTTCGCTATAACCGACATGGATGATAAAGCCGGAGGCACCAGGGTTACCATCAGCGAGCAGCAGCTGTAAGTCCCACTGTCCAAAAAGGCAACATTTGAGCTGAAAATTTCTCGTGTTTTAGAGACCCCGACTATGGACTGTCTTCAGAGGTAAATTGAGCAACTTTTGCTCTACGAGGGCACTTATCTCAAACCTCTTTAGGGCAAAGACGTGGTTACCGTGAAGGAAACTGTGTCAGTCACCCCTTCATACACATCGACTGCTAGAGAAGTGGTTCATGAAGTGATTAAGGTATTCAGTCACCTTCGCACACACAGCGGTTGAAAATATATCCAACTTTCGGTCCACAGCCTAGGGTTCAGATCAGCCCGAGTGAACTGGCCAATATGGTTGAAGAAGAAACGCAAGATGTAGAAAACACCTTAAAGATGGTCCCTCCGGATCTGACCTTCCAAGAGGATCGCTACGCTTCGAAGAAGCGACTGCAGAAACTGAGGCTAACCACCGAATCCATATTATTGCTGGAAGAAGTGAGCCACCAGAACTTTCAAGTGCTGCTATAATCAATAACTTTTTAACAGTCTGTAGTAAATCCGGTGCCAACAGCAGATGAGGCCCTGACTGAGACTCCTCCAGAGACACTGGCCAACATTATGCATACAATAGAGAGCGGCGTCACTCCTGAATGCGATCCCGATCAAGTGTTCCACACATTGTTTGAGGAGAAATCCACCGAACAATCGGTGGTTTTGAGGTAATTTGCCCTCTACCAGCGAGAAAATTGACAACTTAAAGCCATTGATCAGTTCGATCGGCCCGGGACCTTTACAAGACGTTGTAGTTCCGCAAGTTCTCTCCAAGAACATCCACAAAGAGTCAATGACTCCAGACCTTACGGATCTCACTAACATCTACAAGAATGTCACTGACGCTAAAGACTGGCCACCCGTCGATATTTTTGCCTCTGTTATGGATGATGAAGCAAAGTCGCCGAAGAAAGGTAATAACGATGGAACTTACCGATGAATTAATTATTAATGCGTGGTTTCAGGAATAAAATCCCGGCCGTTCAAGCCACTGCAGGATGAAGAAATGCCTTGGGCTGAAGAAGGTGAACCGAAACAAATCAACTGTTCAACTTCATTGCCAGTGATGTTATTTCTAAATAGATTTGGAGCCCTTGGTGAATATAGTGGGAGCTGAGCCGGCTGCAGTGCTGGAGCCGTTCAACATCCATGAGCTGGAGTCGTCCGGAAATCTGGAAACTGAGCTCTCGCACGGGATTGAGTATTTCGTGGAAGCTGATCCAGTCCAGTATATGTCCAGAGTGCAGCTGCGCGGCTCCCAGCCGCCCTCTTGGTTTCCAGGCTACATCTACGCTTTGCCCGAATTCGCAGACGTAGTAAAACTGGCTAGAAATCCCGATGAAGTGTTTGCTTCCAGCTGGAAGTCCTGCCGCCCGAAAATAATCCCCGACAATTCCATATCGGTCCTGCATTGAGCTTGCAGAGAAAAAACCCGCACCAGTAACACGCAAATTTTCAAAACAAACTTTTATTTAAACCTACTTAGTCTCCTTTGGAGGCCCACCTGAAGCTACATGCAAGAAAAGCGCGAAGTTGGCAAACTATTTTAATTGCTCGAAATTTGAGGCTCAAATAAATTATCTGAGTGGTTCATCAGGTACTACATATATTGTCCTGAGACTTGAGTTGTTCTTAAACTAATCAATCATCAATGTTAGATCTGATCTGATCTGATCGATATTGCATTTACAGGCCCTTGTTGAAAAATACTCGGTCGATTTTGCTGATATCCTGCTCCTTTGCAACTTTGTCCTGAAAATTCAATTGAACTGATTACGCAAAGCCTTGATGGAATGAGGAAACTTGGATGAATGCACAGTTTATTATGGAGGAAGAGTGAATAATGCACAGTGAATAAGGACTGGCGGGTTAGGAGCGCACCGGAATATGCAGGATTCTGCTATAGAAAACGTATTTGGGGGCGTTGCAATGATGCGTTTTGTGCAGTTTGCACTACAAAGGGAAATTTCTGGATTCAGTTTCCATAGCGCTAAGTGTTTTTTTACCTTGAGCTCGTCTTCCAGCCTGAAAAAGGGCAAGCTGGCCTTTTGCTTGAAGAGGGCGCAAGCCAGCGGGGTGGCAAAAGTGAGGCAAATGCCCAGAACGCCCAGCGAAATGGGCAGCGCCAGCCAACGGTACCTGCTTAGAGTGCCGCGCTTCTCCAGATAATCCATTACAACTGGAGTTAGCACTAAAATTCCAAAATAAAATACTAAACTTGCTGCTTGAAGAACTTCCAAAGTTACCCATTCCAGGCATGGCCATGGCGATCCTGCTCAGGATGACCTGCCCAATGCCGTACTGCGCCGCCACTGTAGAATAGCCCAATTTATTGCCATTTGCATCAAAGACTGGGGTGCCGTGTTTTAGCTCCCTGAAAACAATTGCAGATTTCTGGACTATTTATCACTTTACTGCCCATTTACTCACTGAGCTCGCATCATGGGAATATTGATACAATTGGCGGCTGCCACTGCTGCAAAAGGCACCAGACGTCCCACCAAGGGCGGCATCTTCTGCAGCACAAAAATCATTCATTGGCTTCTCGCAATTCTAGGAAGATCGGGAGTTTTCAATTATTTATATCTTTGGTTTTTATCATATAATTAGTCTGGGCCTTAATGGGGGTAGAAACTTCTTGCACCTTGATCACAGCAAAGTACTTACTTTAACTAAAGCGTTCAGCCCGAGTGCTGTGCCCACCGCTCCTGAGGTGGCAAATGCGTAAGAGGTAAGAATCTGTCTGAAAATTAGGCAAATTTAGTCTGCAGGCGATGGGAGAGGACGGTGTGCCTACTTGTCTGTTTGGACGATGTCGCCACTTCTGTTAGTGTAATTGACCAGGGCGTTGAAGGACTGGTTGAGCCATTGCCAGAAAACCACTGCTGGCGCTGTTTTGTAGAATGTGATCATTCCGCCTGTTATAAGCATGTTCATTGGAACCTGAAATACACTCAATGACGCTATAAGATTCTACTCATTGGCAAGCGTAAGAGCGTAGTTAGTGTTTAGTTTTCAAATTGCGCTCTTCAAAACTTAAGAGTAAAACCAGATAATTTGCCGTTCCGTTTATAACGTTATCTACGCACTTGAGCAGACATTCGTCCAATCAACACCATTTTCTCTCCAGTATCTGGATGAAAAGCAGAGTCGTAAAGGGTTTTGGCGCGCCACAAATCCTCTTCACTGGTTCCACTTGGCAACTTTTCTCCGCATCTGCAACAGTTGGTTGGATTGAAGTGCAACCAATTTGAATTCCTGGATTACTTGTATGAATGAATCAAGCACTTGGCCTCATCCAATTTTCGGCTGCTCACGAACAAGTTCAAGGGATTGGTGGTTTGAAAGAAATGCTTGGCCCGCCCCATGTAGAACTCCTGATCATAGCGTGGCTCATCCAAGTTGATTTTTTTGCTAGTCACACAGGCGCAGTCCGATTGCACTTTGCTTTCGCACATTTTTACCTGCAATTACCTGGAGATTAGTTTGGAGAAAATGCCACAGCATATACTGATATCAGCACTGTTAACTGAGCTACAACGAAAATGCCTTGATGTTTTATGGATTTTTCTAGTGAATCTCTTTACATAATCAAGAATCTATTCGGTCAGAATCTTCAAGACAATGAATGAGGTTTTATTTTAACATACTTAGGCACAATAATAATTTCACTGAATTTTTAAATTTTGATATGTTTTTTTGTGCAATTTTGCAGATTAGTTCTTCGGCTATTATCTCAATATGCTGCAATCTTGTTAATTTTGAAGATAACGCAATGATTGAAAAAGCAAATGGTCAATAAAGAGGAAGTTTCAAAAGGGTTCACTACATTTTGGTTTGTTTCAAACAAAACTGTAATGTACAGAGCGTTTCAAAAAAATGAACAAAAACATGGCTCAATGTTGTGCTCATTATTTGCCAGGGAAAATTTTGAATCCACTGTTTCTCAGCTTGAAATAGTATTCCACACATTAAGCTATAAACTGAAGAAAAAAAATGCTTGAACTTACTTGAACTATACTTACTTTGAACTTTATCAAAAAAAGCGGCACACCAGGTTTTTTGGAACTGAGGAAGGTGGACGGGTGGTATAAAATTTTCTTTTACTAAGACAAATTAGGAATAGTTATACGAAATAAGAAGTAATAATGGAAAATAAAGCAACAGAAATAGCAATACGCACTGAAGAAATATAATAGTAGGCAAATAGGACCAAGATGTGTAAGATAATAATCGTGGCTGAAAAACTAGCGAGAATTCTTCACTTACTCCAGAAATACCCTCTTTGGAGCTGCAGCATCCGGAAGTCAAATATTCTTAAGACCCAACGGCACTTAGAGGAAAAGCGACGGACTTTAAGCCAATTTATTTATTATAATTTAAGTGCGTTGCGTGTGATTCTCTTCGGTTTTTTGCGCGTAATTCCTTAACATTCAGAAACTAGAATAGCATCGGTTTTTCGGACATTTTTGCATTAGAAACTCATTCTTCATATTCATGAATAATAAGTACGCGAAAATTGATGTTAATTGTACAGGACGCAATTGTTGAGGCACCTTCGATGCTTCTAGCCAAGGATAAACTAATAAAAATTTGGCGCATTTTGGAAATTCCACACAGCAGGAATTAATATGAGTTTAAATGTAGGCAATTTCCACAAATACAAGCTGGTTCTTTACCTGATACTGGAGCGCTTGACCAACACTGTACTTGTGTCCAAATCCTGCTTACGGATTATTCGTTATTCGAAATCGACTTATTGTTTAATACTACTGAATTTTTGCCCCATAAACATCACTGTGAATGATGTCAGATTAGCGTAATTTTTAGATTAGAACAACAAATCGACCACCCGACCTCGTTGCTTAATTGTGCGACACTTTATTTGGTAAAAACTGAACACATTGCAAGTAGCAATCTAATCGTATGCTTATCTTAAGGTTACAAGCTGAAGCTGAACTGTGGTTTATTTTTTTTATAGTATTCTCGCTGCCGGGGTTTCTGGATTGCGCCAGAATGCGAAACAGACCTGTTTTTCCAAAGGCGCTTGATCTGGATTATTGATCCAGGTTTCATTGATTAGGGGCTTACTCAGTATTACGCGTCTTACAGGAGAAAATATTAAAAAGTGCGATATTTTTGCAGAAAGTAGCAATTTTGTTATATAGTTTCGGCCATTTTTCGATAAAGATTTAAGCTGCAAAGCCCAGTTTTTTTCTGAATTTTTAGAGCATTTAAATATGCATTTGGGTTCATGGGTTGTGCATTCATGTCTGAATTCGCTAACAAATCTGCGGTCAAGTGTAATGTATTTTTTACAAAAAGACGCACATCATTATAAAGTTTGAACAAAATCCCCTCGGCACACGTAAGTAAAAACGCATAAAATTACAATACCATCAGAGTTTAGTAGATATTTTTATGAAACTACCCACTTGATCTTTTTGCTGTTATTTGAACGCCAATGTAATAAAAAAACAACGTTATTATTCGTGTTGTAGTTTTTCTGGTACTCTGCAGCATTGCCAGATGTAAGCCCAGCATAAATCGCTCACGCCCATCAATGACTTTGATTGAAAGCTGACAGTAAAAGCAAGCGTCAAAATGTCAGTTTGTTGCCAGTTGCCAGCATAACATGGCACACAGTAAACGTAGCAGAGAGATCTGCAATGTTTTATTTTTATGTGTGGCATGGTACATTGTCAGCTCAACGAATAATGTTATCGGTAAAACTGTGCTCAACGAGTTTCCATATCCGCTGACCATGACCATGGTCCAGCTGCTCAGCATTACCATTCTCAGTGGACCCCTTTTCAATTTGTGGGGCATTAGGAAGTATGTGGACATTTCTTGGAACTACTACTGGAAATTGATCGTTCCATTGGCTTTCGGCAAGTTCATGGCCAGTGTGCTTAGCCATGTGAGTATTTGGAAAGTGCCAGTTTCTTATGCCCATACAGGTAAGCTTGGCCATATGTTTGGTTCACTTTCTAGGATTCCTATATTGCTTCCAGTGTCGTTTTATGGCCGTTTCATTGTCTTATTGTTTTACTACAATTGCCAGATACATTCATTTAATCCACAGCTTAGCTAATGGCATTTTGTGTGTGATTTATATCTATTGTTACAAAGTATTACAGGGATTATAGAGATTTTGTCCAGGTTCTTGATAGCGGTTTGTTTCACTTAATCTCTTGAGTTGTTACTGTTCTTTTACTGATCTAATTTCATAGTTTTTTTCTTTGCAGTTAAAGCGACCATGCCCCTGTTCACCGTGATTTTATCCAGGCTAATCATGGGCGAAAAGCAAACACTGAAAGTGTACATCAGCTTAATTCCCATTATTGGGGGAGTTGCTATTGCCACACTGACCGAGATTAGCTTCAACATGGTTGGATTAGTTTGCGCTTTAATCTCGACTGCTGGTTTTTCACTTCAGCACATATTTTCCAAAAAAGTAGGCCCATCTCGATATTGCCTAATTACTTAGGGGTTTACATCTGTATAATTCTTTTTAGGTATTAAAAGACACCAAAGTGCATCATTTACGGCTGCTCCATATCTTGGGAAGGCTTGCCTTGATCATGTTCTTACCCATATGGCTTTATGCAGACTTTTTAAATGTGATCCAGGACAAAGCTAAGGTAAGTGTACATCGCAAAAGCTGCATCTTGTTCCGCCTTCCACAGTTCGAAATTGGTGAAAACACAAGGAAACCTCCAATTTGTATTTGCCTCTCTAATTTCCTCAAATTCAATAGCTTCCTTTAATTAACTTCTTTTCTTCTAGACTTATCAAAACTACCGTATTATTATTCTGCTTTTCCTGGATGGAGTGTTAAATTTCCTTCAGAACGTCATAGCCTTTAGTGTTCTTCACATGGTTACGCCGCTCACATACGCTGTAGCCAATTGCAGCAAACGGATATTTGTGATTGGACTGTCCCTTTTTATTCTTGGAAACCCCGTAACTTCCATGAATGTGCTGGGAATGTTTATGGCGATATTCGGGATGCTTTACTATAACAAGGTAATTCGCATTGAGGGCTTCCACTTGATGTTTTGGTGTTTCAATGGTGTTTTCCTCTGCAGGCAAAATACGACCAGAGACAGGAGGAAAAGGAGTCGATCCTGCCTTACGCCCATGACTGGCAACAGGATAAAATCGCTTACCCGATTACTCAAAACGGGACTAAATACACGAACGGATTGAGTAATGGTGAACTAAACAATTTGAATAATAATTTCAGTTACAATTCAAGGACTATACGGTCGAAAGGCAACTTGTTGCTGTCGTAGGAAAATTCTGTGTGTTTAGGTGTGCTTTTTGAGCTGTTGACTAATGTTTAAGGTAAGCATTGTGGGAATGGTTTGTTTCGTCTTGATGGGATTTTGCGTTAGATCAATTGAAATGATAAGCTGGTACTTAAGCAAACAGTTGATATTTACAGTTCATGCTCAAGGTACTAAAGTTAACTACCTTAGTAGCTAGTCGAAATAATGAAGATTTAGTGCTTCTAGTATACATAATGTACATACAATTATTTATTCAGTATTTTAAGTGACAAAGCCATTAGTTTTTTATTTTTGTTTTTTGTGTACAGTGTGCACGATGAAAGGAAGACATTGATTTCAAATTTAAGCCGCAACATTTTCGATTTCTACTCCTATAAGTTCTGAATAGTTTTTCCAGTAACAATTTTAGTAACGAGCTAAACATTTCCTTAAAAAAGGCTCGATGTGTTGCCAATTTTTTCTTGTTGCTCTGTTGTTTTTCCTTAAGCCTGCGAATATTAATTGGTCTTTTCGCATAAGCAGTAAATGTTATGAAAATAGTTTCATAAGGAAAACATTTAAATAAGTTTCTGAATAAATATGAAATTGTTCCAAGAGTAAAGAAGCTTTTTTTTGGATGAAATCGAAAACAGTTAAAGGAAGAAACAGTCAACATGTTTTCAAACCCTAACTTTGGTTGACGCTTGAGTCTTAAACCTTTTATGAAAAATCATCTTAAAGCGCCAATAAAATATGTAACTCGGCTACTAAATTCATTACGCGAACATTTTTAAGGTTCCTTTGCAATAAAGTTTAATTCAGA